CTGGGTGGCGCAGTGGTTTGGCACCTGCCTTTGGCCCAGGGTACGATCCTGGAGACCTGGGATCGAATCCCACGTTGGGCTCCCGGTTCATGGAGCCTGCTTCTCCCTCTGCCTGTGTCTCTGCCTCTCTCTCTCTCTCTCTCTCTCTCTCTCTCTCTCTGTGTGTGTGTGTGTGTGTGTGACTATCATAAATAAATAAAAATTAAAAAAAATTAAAAAAAATTGCTTGTGCTTTTGGTTGAGAATAACTACAAATTTGAGATGACATAATACAATTATAATTCCTAATATATAGTGATGTTGCTGAGCCATAATTAAAATATTTACAGTGTTTCCTTTTTTTAAAAAATAGCACCTTAATTTTTTTAATAGCACCTTGGAATCTCATAATTCTAAGGGGTTGGAGTTGATTGGGTTAAATAACAATTAAAATGCTGGCTTATATGCCTCTTTGAGAATATTGTTATGATGGAAGTAGCTAAATCTTTTTATTTCTTTGTACCCCTTATCAACCATCTCCTTCCTGTGTGTCAGACATTCTTTTTCAATACTTCATATGTGCCATATTACTCCATTTGACCATTTTAACTGTTTTAGATCAGTATATTAAGCTCTCCTACATATAAAGATGCTGAAGCTTGAGAAGGACAAATAACATTCCTAAGATCTTATAATTAGGAAATCGCTGTGCATGGGTTTGAATTTAGATCTGGTGTATTTAGATCTGGGGTGTGTGTGTGTGTGTGTGTATATATATATATATATATACATATATATCTATATCTATATCTATATATCCATCCATCCCGTGTTCTTCACTGTATGTTCTGTGTTGCTTCCTCCTCCTTACATCTTGAGGAGAAGGATGTTTGTATCCTATGCAAGCTTGTATATGCTGAGTGCACAATACAAATTTGAATACGGTATTTTGTAAAAGTACTTGTTTCTCATGACAGTACCATCCATATAATAAAGTCATGTGGTAGCTGTTGTTTATTATTCAGCCAGTAATGTGAACTAAATTTGACTCTGGAAGATAAGGTGGAATCTTTCTTTCCCTTGCATCATTATCTGTAGGTGATGCTGCAATCTAATAGGCTTGACCTTTAGAGGCAAGTGATGATTGGGGAAGGGTGGAATATAGTTTCTTGTTTAGTAATGCTGCTCACCCCAGTTCACAGAGCAGAACTGCTGCCAGTGGATTTACAAAATGGAGAGAACGGTGGTATGAGGGTCAGGAAATTGTAGTTCTTATCCTTTTCTATTACCTATCAGTTGGCCAAGTCACTTTCCTTTTCTGAGTTTGTTTCTTTGTATAATTGAGAGTTTCAAGTAGATGCTCAAAGATTTATGTTTATTTTTAAATTCCCTAAAGTCAGAAAGGATTTATTTTGCTCATTGCTGTATCCTCAGAGTTTCAAGTTACACAGTTAACGAATATTTGTTGAGAAGCATAGATGTAGTTTGACGGAACTGGGTAGATCTAACCTTTTTTAGTTAGTAATAGTCATATGACTGTACAAGTTTCTTAAACTCTCTGGATTTCCAATTCCTCTTCTGCAAAATGGGGATAAAAAAATATCTGCTTCTATAGGGTTTATTGTGAAGATGAAGTAATACATATATAAAGATTTAAAACAGTGCTTGGCCCAATGGTAATATTCAAAGAAGCTTTTGTCACTGAATCTGTTTTTTGCCTTTTTGCTCATTTAGATCATCATAGTTGTTTATTTCTTAAAGAACTTTATTTGAAATATTTATCTTATTTGGCTAGATCATAGTGTATTTACAAGAAAGGTCAGTTTCATCCCATGAAATTTATTTAGCTGCTTCTTCCTTCCATAGCTTGTATCTCTAACTCCAGTCTCACCAAAGAGATCTGAGTGGAAAGGGAGAGTGTGATGAAAATAATGCAAATCTATCTATTGCTTCTCTTTGGAAAATAACTTAAGTCCTATTGCCACATTGCTGATGTGTTAGAAGAATCAACTTTATATGTGACAGACAGCATTCTGTGAGTCTAAGGACTCTTAGAAGCGTGATTCTTTATCTTCTTTCTAATTGATCCTAGGTTAGAAATGGATTAGGAAGTCATGGAGACATGGGTGGAGAAAAAAATCCTTGGTAGTTATAAGATACAAGTCCACGATCTCTTAATCAAAACTTTTAGAGTCTGATATATTTGAGAATTCCACAATTTTCAGATTTTATTAACATAATATGGTACATACATCATACATCCTTTTTTTAAAAAAGATTTATTTATTCATTCATTCATTCATTCATTCATTCATTCATTCATGAGAGACACACACTGAGAGAGAGAGAGAGGCAGAGACACAGGCAGAGGGAGAAACAGGCTCCCTGCAGGGAGCCAAGTGCGGGGACTCGATCCCGGATCCCAGGATCACAACCCGAGCAGAAGGCAGGTGCTCAACCATTGAGCCACCCAGGTGTCCCTACATTATATATCCTTAACAAGATCTGGGCAGTTCCCATTTATCAGACATTAACATTTCTATAGTGAAATGTAGTACTCTCACATGAAATGGGATATATAGAACATAAATGGCTTTACATCTTGTTGAGATTAGGTATTGCTGGTAGACAAGTTAATTGAAAATCCTATAAGAAATCTTGATTTTCAGAGGGTTTTGGCTTTGAGATTTGCAAATGGGGGATTGAAGACCCCATTTGCTCAAGAGATGTCATTCCTGTAGAAATTCCTGATTAGGGGCACCTTGGCTCAGGTCGTGATCCCGGGGTTCCAGGATCAAGTTTCGCCACAGGGAGCCGGCTTCTCCTTCTACTTATGTCTCTGCCTCTCTGTGTTTCTTATGAATTTAAAAAAAAAAAGAAAAAAAATCCTGATTACTAGTAAATTTAAAGTCAATGTTTTCTTATCTAACAACTATAATGTTTCATTATTTTTAGTTACCTCTAAATGAAAAGAATTCATAGAATTTTAAAATCAGAAAGAATCTTTAAGCAGTAAATCATTAAAAATCCTTCATAATAACCTGTTTCAAAATTGCTGTTGAACTTAAGTTTTTATTTATGAGGTACTGGGCAAAATTACAATGATATATCTGTTTGTTGCCAGAAGAAAAATTAATATATTTTTTAATTAATACTTTTTTATTCTCCACCGGCCAAGTCTGATGTCTCAACTTTAATTATTTATTTTTAAGGATTTTATTTATTTGACTCAGAGAGTTCAAGCAGAGGGAGTGGCAGGCAGAGGGAGAGGGAGCAGTAGACTCCCTGCTGAGCAGGGAGCCCAATGTGGAACCCAATCCCAGAACCCTGCTGGAATCATGACCTGAGATGAAGGCAGATGCTTAACTGTCTGAGCCACCCAGGCACCCTTGGAAGAGGAAAAATTATGACTAGAAGCCTTTACTTGATATTATATTTAAGAAATAGGATAATACAATGAGGTTCTGTGCTTGTTTTTTCCTTTGGAGTGCATAATGAGGGACATGCTCTAGGACTTTCTGTTTTCCTGGGATATGCTGTGTTTCATTGATTTGTAGGATGCCTAGTTTTTGTATTTTGGCATTTCAGAAAGCAGAATGAGTTACACATTTATTGTTGCCCAGATGGCTGTTAGGATGTACTTTCACAGGCAGAACATCAAACCCAGCATCAACATTTGGAGAGTGGGTGTCAGTGGCTTAGACGAAACTCTGAAAAACATTAGTGGAGTGCACTTTGAACCTCGAGGAACCAAATGGTTGAAGAGCAGTGGGGATGAAAAACAGCTAGCTCTGCATACTACAAAGCCAGCTAAGAGCTAAAGGCTTTTAGCTCTTTTTGATGGATTCTTTTATGAAATGCTGCACTACTTGTGTTTTTGACACAACTTTTTGTGGGATATAAAAATATTTTTGAATCCGAGTCAGTAAGGGACTCATAAGCATTGAATGTGATGTAGTTTTAGAAACACCTTAGTCAAATTATTTTGCTTATATGTGTAAAAGATGATACATGATAAAAATTTCAAGTCTAAAAGAATTACAAAGGTAAAAGTGATAATACTATGCTGTAGTTTAACATTTTTTTCATTAGTGGCATATAGAATAATGATATTTCTAAATGTAGTATAGACTAAATAAATATAATTAGACTAAATAAATAAAATAGACTAAATAAAATGTGATTAAGTGAATGTATTATATTAAATACAATACATTAAATTAATATCAAAGCAGAATATTTGGCCCTAAGGTATAGGTAGTGCTGTTGCTTCTCAGTGTATTTCATTCTTTTTTTTTTTTTTTTTTTTTTTTTTTGCGTATTTCATTCTTTTTTTAACTTTAGGTGCTTTATGTAACTCTTCTAGGAGCCTTATTTTGTTCCATCTTCATCATCAATATGGTAGTCTTTCTAGATGGCAGTGGACAGGCCTATGAGCCTGCCATCTTAATTCTCAGTTTTCTTTCAGGGTTTGCTTTTTCCTACTTTGCAGGAATCAGGTAGACAGCAGAGTTTTTGTGATAGACCAGTAAGATACAGAGAGACCTCAAGAGAATTCTAGTAAAAATAGGCCCTTTCCCACTTTCCCTGTGGTGAGTGAATGCTAGAGGTGCTGTAGCATCTTCTGACCCCCGTTCCCACTTTCTCAGGATTGGCTGGCTCCTTAATCATATAGGTGTTCTTCATGGAGATTTGATGTGTGCTATGCCATTACAGTAAGAAACACATTTCTAGTTGGGACACATAAGCAAATACTACTTAAAATGAACTTTAACAAAGCAATACTTAATAAATGCTGGTCATAATCCAGCAAATGGATTTTATATTTCTTTAATGAGTTGCAACCATTATTTGGAAAACACTATCTCTCTTTCCTTTCCCCTCTTTTGTATATATACTATTCTCACATGAATAAGTGAGCCATAGTGAGTTGTGAATAGGAAAACATAAATTTAAATCTCTAGTTAGTCCTGCTTTATCATCTAGGAAGTTATATAAAATGCAATTATTTTATTTTACAGGCTGGAGCATTGGATTTACTGAAGGAGCTTAAGAATATTCCCATGACCCTGGAATTATTACAGGTATGTGCTAATATGTGTCATGATTTGAATAGGTAATTGTCATAAAATAGCAAAGATTTTTAATACCATTAAGTTTTTTATAGTGTCTTGTTATGGTGTAAACCATTATTAACTTGCTTTTTTTAAGATGGTAACATAAATCAGTAATCTACTAAGTTAATTATAGAAAAATGTTGCCTTACTCAAGAAGAATAAAACCTGAATCTCCCAAGTTTGAAGTCTCATAATGAAAGGAAAGGAAGGTGGATTCTTGGCCCTGATTTGATCTCCCTAGATCTCACTTTCTTGGTCTGTCATTGACAGCTGCTGCAAGCATGAAGCTAGCCTCTGGGGTACCTTTTAGCAGTTATTCCTTATTTCCCCCCAGTTACAACCCCCTTCTGCCATGGACAACCACTAATCGATTTACCTTTTGTCTCCTTAGATTTACCTATTCTGGAGAATTCATATAAATGAAATCATATAATATATGACCTTTTGTGTCTGACTTTTTTTTTTTTTTTTAAAGATTTTATTTATTTATTCATGAGAGACCCAGACAGAGGCAGAGGGAGAAGCAGGCTCCCTGCGAGTCAGCCTGATGCGGGACTCGATCCCAGGACCCCAGGATCACACCCTGAGTTGAAGGCAGATGCTCAACCACTGAGCCATCCAGGCATCCCTTTTTTTTTTTTTTTTTAATAAAAAAAATTTTTTTTTCCATTTTGAGTATAATCTACCCCTCAGTGTGGGGCTCAAACTCATGACTCCAAGATCAGGAGTCCTATGGTCTACAAACTGAGTTAACCAGGCACCTCTCTGGCTTCTTTTACTTAGCATAATCTTTTCAGGGTTCATTCATGTTGCAGCATGTATCAGTGTTTTGTTCCTTTTTATGGCTAAATAATGTTCCATTGAATGGATATACCACTTTGGTTTATTCATTTGTCAGTTGATGAACATTTGGGTTTCTACTTTTTCGGTTGTTATGATTCTTGCTTTGCACATTTACATACAAGTTTGTGTGTTTTTGTTTCTCTTGGGTAGAGATCTGAAAGAGTGGAAATGATGAGTCATAAGGTAACTTTATGTTGAATATTTTGAGGACCTGCCAGCCTGTTTTCCCAAGTGACTGTACCATTTTACATTCCCAACAGCAAGTAAATGAAGTTTCCAGTTTATCCACATTCTTGCCAACACTTGTTATTATCTTTGATTATAGCCATCTTGGTGGGTGTGAAGTGATACCTCATTGTGATATTGATTTCCATTTCCCTAATGATTAATTATATTGAACATCTTTTCATGTGCTTCTTAACCATTCATATGTTTTCTTTGGAGAAATGTCTTTTCAGATCCTTTGCCTGTTTGTAAGTGGGATAGTTTATTTTCTTATTATTAAGTTGTAATAGTTCTTTATATATTCTAGATACAAGTCCCTTAATCAGATACAGGATTTGCTAATATTATCTCCCATTCTATGAGTTATCTTTACTTTCTTAGTGGTGTTCTTTTGTGAAGCACAAAAGTTTAAAATTTTGTTGTAGTCTGATTTGTCTATTTTCTTTGGGTGCTTGTGAATTAGATGTTAAATCTAAGAAACAGTGGCGTACTTCAAGGTTCTGGAAATTCACTCCTCTTGGTTTTTTTAGTTCTTTCATTTAGTTCTGTGATTCATTTTGAGTTAATTATCATGTGTGGTATAAGAAGAGGTCCAATTTAATTCTCTTACATATGGACATCTACTTGTTTACCTTTTTAATTTTCTCTGTAAAGAATTACCTTGACATCCATATTGAAAATCACAAAAGATATAGGACTTTATTTCTGGATTCTTTTTTTTTTTTTTAAGATTTTATTTATTTATTTATGAGAGGCAGAGAGAGAGAGAGAGAGAGAGAGAGAGAGAGAGGCAGAGACATAGACAGAGGGAGAAGCAGGCTCATGCAAGGAGCCCGATATGGGACTCAATCCCAGGACCCCGGGATCACACCCTGAGCCGAAGGCAGAAGCTCAATTGCTGAGCCACCCAGGCATCCCTACTTCTGGATTCTTAAGTCTATTCCATGATCTATGTATCTCTCCTTATATAGGACTACAGTGTCTTGATTAGCTTTGTAGTAAGTTTTGAATTTGGAAATTGTGAGTTCTTCAGCTTTATTCTTTTTCAAGATAATTTTGGCTATTTTGGGTCCCTTGTATTTCCATGTGAACTTTAGGACAAACTTAATTTCTGTACAAAAGGCAGCTGGGATTTTAATAGGAATTGCATTTAATCTGTAGTTCAGTTTTTTTTAAGTATTGCAGTCTTTTTTTTTTTTAATTTTTATTTATTTATGATAGTCACAGAGAGAGAGAGAGAGAGGCAGAGACACAGGCAGAGGGAGAAGCAGGCTCCATGCACCGGGAGCCCGACGTGGGATTCGATCCCGGGTCTCCAGGATCGCGCCTGGGCCAAAGGCAGGCGCCAAACCGCTGCGCCACCCAGGGATCCCAAGTATTGCAGTCTTTAACATTTAAGTCTTAGGATCCATGAATATGGGATGCCTTTCCATTTCTTTAGGTCTTTAATTTCTTTCAACAGTGTTTTGTAGTAGCTCTATGTTTTTTACTTTAATATTTAGTGCCTATCTTTTTTTTTTTTAAGATTTTATTTATTTATTCATTTGAGACATAGAGAAAGGCAGAGAACAGGCAGAAGCAGGTTCCCTGCAGGGAGCCTGATGCGGAACTCGATCCCAGGACTCTTAGATCACAACCTGAGCCAAAGGAAGATGCTCAACCACTGAGCCACCCAGGTGCCTATCTTGAATCATCTTGGCAAAAACTCATGAGTGATCATAGAGTGATTTTTCTTCTAGAACATATGAATCTGCTTAATACCTGTGATGCTAACAGCATCTCTTAATCTCACTACTTATTCCTTTCTGATATATCATCAATGTGATTCTCTAAGTCTGCTTAATGCCTTCCCCATCTTTCCAAGGTAGTGTTTTCTTATTGCATAGCTGGTGATTTGTAGAAACCAGATGGCCAGACATGGACAAAGGCATACATACATCTCTGTTCAGAATTTCACACTGTATAGTTGATATAAAAAAAACCTTCAGTTCTGCAATCAAGAAGCCTGATTAGGGACGCCTGGGTGGCTCAGTGGTTGAGCGTCTGCCTTGGGCTCAGGGTGTGATCCTGGGGTCCTGGGATCAAGTTCTGCATTGGACTCCCTGCAGGAAGCCTGCTTCTCTCTCTGCTTATGTCTCTGCCTATCTATGTCTCTCATGAATAAATGAAAAAAAGAAATCTTTAAAAGAAAAACAAAGGAAATCTGTTTAACTCTACAATTCTTCATGTTATTTGAGCACACAACACTTTTTTTCATAACCCACCTGTTATATCCTATAAATTATAGTGTACTGGTTTTAGGAAAAATCCAGAGTTTAGAGCATTCTTACAGGTACACTTAGACTTAGTTATCCAAGTAAAATAGCTTCATAATCCTTTCCTTTGTCTAGTTTCTTCTACACTCGGTCTTAGCCAAAAGGCGGAGAAGCGATTCTCTAGTTTCTTCTACTGTTTCCCAAATAACCTCTTTAAAAAGGGGGAGAATAACCTACCTATGTCTTTGTTTGTCACTCTATCTCAGCAGCCTCGTTTCTTATTTTTCTTGACTGGACAATCTCTTAGATAAGCATGTTTGTTACATATGCCTAATCTCCATATGGGTTTTTCATGGGTTTTAAGCAGGAAGTTATGATGAAAACATCCCATGATAATTAAAAAGCAGTCACTCACAGCACATGATTTGTTCATGGTCTCCTTTTATCTTTGCTTACCTTTATTTCCTAAAATTCCATTTTCTTTGCCAATCTGTGTCAACTGCAAGCTTCAGAACTATATTAGTAATACAAATAATTTCTTCCACTCGCTCCAAAACTAGGCTTTCTTTCTTTCTTTCTTTCTTTCTTTCTTTCTTTCTTTCTTTCTTTCTTTCTTTCTTTCTTTCTTTCTTTCCTTCCTTCCTTCCTTCCTTCCTTCCTTCCTTCCTTCCTTCCTTCCTTCCTTTTCCCTTCCTTCCTTCCTTCCTTCCTTCCTTCCTTCCTTCCTTCCTTCCTTCCTTCCTTTCCTTCCTTCCTCCTTTCCTTCCTTTCCTTTCCTTTCCTTTCCTTTCCTTTCCTTTCCTTTCCTTTCCTTTCCTTTCCTTTCCTTTCCTTTCCTTTCCTTTCCTTTCCTTTCCTTTCCTTTCCTTTCCTTTCCTTTCCTTTCCTTTCCTTCCTTTCTTCTTTCAAGATTTTATTTATTTATTCATGAGAGACACAGAGGCAGAGACAGAGGCCGAGGGAGAAGCAGGCTCCATGCAGGGAGCGTGATCGAGACTTGATCCCAGGATCACAGGATCACACCCTGAGCCAAAGGCAGACGCTCAACTGCTGAGCCACTCAGGCATCCCCAAAACTATGTGTTCTTCTAGGTTGGTGGGGTAGGTTGTGGAGTAGTCGTGAGGAAGAGCTGTGAATGGTGCTGGAGAAGGAGTGCTGAAGGCATTGAGATCAGGAGATCAGACCTGACATTTGGTACAGTGACTCCAAGTGCAAGCCGGCTTCTGAGCAGTTAGCTACATCTAGTAGGACAGCTCTGGGTCCACTCAGTTGTAGGTTATGCCATCAGCCCAGGCTCTGGCTTCTGGAAAATTGTCTATGTGGAAGTGTTTTAGAAAAATTCTAAAAAGTTTTAAAAGTTCTCAAAGTATTTCCTTCTCTGTAAAGAGTACTGAGAGCATTTTATTAAAGCAATAACTTTTTTGAGGGAAAACCCTCCCAAAACATTAATCCCAAACCATTTTTGGATTTTAGAATTGTGGAGTCCCCTTTATCTTTCTGCTGTGGAACCTTATCTGCCTTGCACAGCCTTCCATAGGTATAACATAGGCCATTTCAGCCAAACACATATTCTGAATTCTTGAACAAAATTTCTGTCCTGAATCTCTTTATTGAGAAGATTGAATAATTTAGCAGGAAACCGTAAGTACCCATCTATTACTCTGCCTTAAAGTTTACAGCAGGGGTCCCCCCCCCCTTTTTTTTTTCCACTAACAACTCCTTTTGTTGTTTTTTCTTCCATTGACCATGCTTTGAAAGATTGCCTACTAACAACTTGAACTTACTAAATAATTTATCTTTTTTTTTCTTTGTATCGTCCTCAATTGGCCTGTCATAGCTTTTGTGTTCTTTGAACACAATTTGAAAACTGTTGATGTGTTGGAAAGAGCATGTACTTTGGAGGTGGGCAGACCTGCATTAAAATCCCAGCTTTGCCAGTTACTAATGGTATATTGCTGGACAAGTAGGGATAATGATCTCAACATAAAAGAGTTGTTAGGAAGGTTAATGAATATGGATGCTCCTGGCATAATCCTGGGCACATATTATTACCACATGATACATAACTATATTCTCTGAGGTATACTTTAATATCTGTGGTTATATGCTGGTTTGGGGCAAAAAAATGCTTTTAAACCTCTGAAGATGGTAATATTTGGGTATCCTCATTAAAGTCACAGCAGGTGATCTATGAAGTAATCTTTGTAGAAAAATATATAGAAGCAAAGAGGTGAAGATATTAGTCACGAATGCTTCAGTGTGCCTTATATATAAATCAGACATTTTATATTTTATTCTTTGAGAGGTATGGAAAGACTGATTTCATTTAATTAGTTAACCAGCCTTGTTACAGTAGCAACTTCCATGCTTGCAGATTTCTGTGATAATAACCTCGATGAGTCTAGTATTTGATCTGAAGATGCATGTATCCTAATTCTGTAGTATACTATCATAAGAATTCAGATAATAGGTTTTTTTTTTTTTCTATTCTGCAGTGGGAATAAGAAAATGGGAGAGAAGACAGTGAAACACCACAATGTCTGAAATAAAACAACTTGTACAAATTTTTTTGTTGTTGCCTTGCAGTCCACAAGAATTGGAATGTCAGTAAATGCTATTCGCAAGCAGAGTACAGATGAAGAAGTTACATCTTTAGCAAAGTCTCTCATCAAATCCTGGAAAAAATTGTTAGGTAAAATTGATCTTTCATTATATATATCTATGATCTGGTTTATTCAGATGTTTGGTGTTTGCATTTTTTTCTGTTTATAAATTCGATTATATTGAAATCAACGCCTTATATTAAGAGGGGGTTTGACCTCCTTGAGGGTTTTGCTTTTTGTCAAGGTCATCTTTTTTTTTTTTTTTTGTTTTTCGATACTTAGAACTGGACTGCCTCTTTTTTATTTTTTTTTTTATTTTTTTTTTTAAATTTTTTTTTATTTATTTATGATAGTCACAGAGAGAGAGAGAGAGAGAGAGGCAGAGATATAGGCAGAGGGAGAAGCAGGCTCCATGCACCGGGAGCCCGACGTGGGATTCGATCCCGGGTCTCCAGGATCACGCCCTGGGCCAAAGGCAGGCGCCAAACCACTGCGCCACCCAGGGATCCCTGGACTGCCTCTTTAAGAAGAAAATTTTCCCCCGTGGGAAAGTTGTCAATACTTTTTAAAAAAGTTTTTGAAATAAATTTTCTGACTTACAGAAAGTTTAAAGAATAATAAAAATAACTAACCTGTATCTTTTTCTAGATTGTTAATTTTTAATATCTGCCGTATTTTGTCATATTTCTGTCTTCTCTTTCTCTGTATGTATATACTCATAAAAACACAAATTATTTTTGCTGAGAATAGTGCATCTATCATACATTACCCTTCAATACTTAAAATGTGTGTTTCCTTGGAACAAGTTTATTTTCTTATGTAATCATAATATAGGAAATTTAACATTGGTATAGTACTATATCTGTAATCTACAGTTCCTATTTTGTCAGGTGTCCTAGTGATGTCCTTTATAACTTTGTTTTCTCTTCCAGAACAAGATCTAGTCTAGGATCATGTATATATATAGTCTTCTGATCTGGAATAGTTCTTAAGCCATCTTACATTATTTATGATATTATTTATTATTATTTATGACATTGACAGTTTGAAGAATACAAGCACTCATCTTTGTTTTTAATAGCATGTTCCTGATTTGGGCTTTATCTGTTATTTTCTCATGATTAGATCAGGTTTTGCATTCATAGTTGGAATACTCTGTAAGTATGTTGTGTCCTTCTGAGGTTATCACATCCAGAGGCTTTGTTTTTTTTTGTTTTTGTTTTTTTTTTTTTTAATTTTTATTTATTTATGATAGTCACAGAGAGAGAGAGAGAGAGGCAGAGACACAGGCAGAGGGAGAAGCAGGCTACATGCACTGGGAGCCCGACGTGGGATTCGATCCCGGGTCTCCAGGATCGCACCCTGGGCCAAAGGCAGGCGCCAAACCGCTGCGCCACCCAGGGATCCCCCATCCATAGGCTTTGATGATGATGTTAATTTTGATAACCCAGTCGAGGTGTACAATGTATGTGAGCCTGATGCAGGACTCAATCCCAGGATCATTTTTCCTTTTGTATCTAATAGGCATTCTGTGAGAGAAACTTAAGACCCTGAAGCTATTTTTTTTTTTAAGATTTTATTTTATTTATTTATTAATGAGAGACAGAGAGAAAGAGAGAGAGGCAGAGACACAGGCAGAGGGAGAAGCAGGCTCCATGCAGGGAGCCTGACGTGGGACTTGATCCCAGGTCTCCAGGATCAGGCAGGCCCTGGGCTGAAGGTGGCGCTAAACTACTGAGCCACCTGGGCTGCCCCCCTTTTTTTTTTTTTTTTTAGATTATATTTATTCATGAGAGACGCAGAGCGAGGCAGATATAGGCAGAGGGAGACAGGCTCCCTGCAGGGACCCTGATGTGGGACTTGATCCCAGGACCCCAGGATCATGACCTGAGCTGAAGGCAGGTATTCAACCACTGAGCCACCAGGTGCCCCTGTCTTGCTTCTAATTAGACCTTCCCCACACTCCCATTTAGTATCCACTGTTTCTTGCCCAAATTGCCCTTTATATAGTGATAGTTGCAAAATTGTTGTTTTCTAACTTCCACTTCTTCAGTATTTATAAATCAGCATTCTGCTACAAGAAAGAACCCTCGTAGGCTCCTGGGTAGCTCAGTTGGTTAAGCATCTGCCGTTAGCTCAGGTCATGAATCCTGGGTCCTGGGATCAAGCCCTGGTTTGGGCTCCCTGCTCATTGAGGAGCCTGCTTTTCTCCCTGTCCTGTTCCCCCTGCTTGCGTACTCTCTCTCTGTCAAATAAATGAAGAAAATCTAAAAAAAAAACAAAAAAAAACACCTTTCCTTTTACTTCCTAGTTATTTTTCTACTAGTGGATTCTATTTTATAACATGGGTTATAATCCATTACTGTTAATAATTATTTTGATGTTTATACTATCCTAGATTTGACCATTGGGCACCGATTAACCAGCTCCTGTGTCCATTTGACACACCTCTTTTAGTTTTGTCTCTTTTTTTTTTATATTCTGGAATCAAAAAAAATGTGTTGAGTTCATCTATCTTCCCTTTCCCAGCCTGGAATCAATCATTTTTCTAAGCAGTGATTAGGCTTATGTGGAAGAGGAAAATAGAAAAAGTCAAACCTTTTAAAATTTCAAAGATAGGAGTAGTTAATAACAAAAAACCTATTACTTCCAAGAGCTTGGAAACTAGGAACTACAAATTGTAAAGCCTCTAAAATTTAAAAAGTTTGCTTTTAAGAAAATTAAATATAATGTATGTTCCTGAATTGGATTCTGGACCAGGAAAAAAAATTGTTATAAAGATCATTTCTAAGATAATTGACAGAATTTTTGTCAGATCTGTATGTAAGTAAACAGTATTATATCATTGTTAAATTTACTCATTGTGGTTATATTAATGAATTTCTTTTTTCTTGGGGAATACATACTGAGGTATTTTAGGATTAAGGAGCATGATATCTGCTACTTATTTTCAAATGGTTCAAAAGAAATATGTGTGCACGCAGTAGGGTACGTGTTTGTGTACGTACAACACACATATACATATGTGTAGGGGGCAATGAATGAATGAGAAAGTGTACCAAACATTAACATTTGGAGAATCTGAGTGAAGTGTTTTTGTTTTTTTTTTTTTTTAAGATTTATTTATTATTTATTTGACAGAGAAGGAGAGAGCATGTGCACATGGGCACGCACATGCACAGTGGGGTGGGAGAGACTCAAGGAGAGACTCAAGCCGACTACCCCCTCGCTGAGCGCAGATCCTGACTCGGGCTCAATACCAAGACCCTGAGATCACTACCTGAGCCAAAATCAAGAGTCAGACAGTTAACTGACTGTGCCACCCAGGCACCCCTGAATAAAATTTTTGTACCATTCTAAAACATTGTGCCAGATTCAGATTATTTAAAAATAAAGAACTTAAAAAAAATCTAATGTTTAAAGACAAACTGAAACTTTACGCTTTATATTTCATTTAAATTTTAAATCTAATTCCATATTCTAAAGTAATTTGAATTTGCCATAAAAAGTTGACTGAGAACCATATGCATGTGTTTTTATTTCTGGAAAGATGGCTTACATTTTGTAGGACATTGTAGTTATGTTCATTTAATCTTAAATTTAATGAAGTTTTACTCTTTTACACTTACTGGAGGTATCTGATCTCATTACAAGTTCTCCTTTAAAAACTTTATGTTAAAAGATTTCCATGTTCATTAAATAAAATTTGGAGAATTGGAGGAGGAAAAGACATAATTTTTAAGTCTGTCTTTAAGTACAACCATCAGTTAATATCTTGTTGCATTTCTTGTCTTTTTTTCTCCTGGTGTATGAATTTTGCTTCAACTCTAATTCTTTTTATGCTGTATGTATACTTACTTATATATTACTTTTTTAATGAAAAAAATTTTGTATTTTTATATCATCATTAACTCATTTTTATTGGCTTCAGAATAATCCACTGGGTGATTATGCCATAATTTAATCACTTGCCTGTTAGATGTGTGTGTGTGTGTGTTTTTTAACTTTATAGCTAGTGTAAATAATGTCTTGATGAATATCTTATTGCCTAAAGCTCTTTCTTTAGATTATTAGCTTGATTTCTAGAAGATTTACTATTTTTTTTAAAGATTTTATTTATTTGAGAGAGCGAGAACAAGCGAGCACAAACAGAGGGAGTCGCAGGCAGATGGAGAGGGAGAAAACAGGCTCCTTGATGAGCAGAGAGCCAGATGTGGAGCTCGATCCCAGGACCCTGTGATAATGACCTGAACCAAGGGCAGACACTTAACTGAGTCACCCAGGTGCTCCTATTGCACAATTTTGAATACTGAACATATAAATGCAGGAGCCTAGTGCCTTAGATGTCATTATATTTCCCATTTTCTGATGCAGAATGGAGACTCTCAGAGATTAAGCATCTTGTGCATAGATTGGTGGTGGGGTGTGATCTGCAGATAGTCCAGAGCTGGACCACTTCTCTCTGGGTCTGCTATATTGCCCACAACGGTATATTCACATAATAGAAATGCTTTTAAGGCTGTCTACGCCTCTTACTACTCTGCTTCTTCAAAGGATTGCACTAGTTCACCCTGCTAGAACAGTGTGTGGTATCAGTGTGATTGCATTGGATCTTTGTTAGTATTGCACTATTACATCACCTTTCAAATACTTTCTATCCTCTTAGTTTTGGAGTATTTCCTAGTCCTTGTTATGTTCTTTAATGTCGTGATTTATCTTTGTTTTCTACCTCCCAGTGCTATACCATCTTTAGGCTTTGGGGCCTTCCACGTGAACTGTAGAGAATAAAGGGGGCCGGTAAAACTAGTATTTGAAAACTAACACTGTGTCATAGGGGGCTTCAGTTGTATTTTGAATTTGTTAACGTTTTCAAGATGAATTCTAGAATTGTGGTTTGGACCATTCTCATATCAGTTAGCCTCATCTAAATTAGCATATTACAGTCATCTGGGGAACTTTTTTTTTTTTTTTTAATTTTTTTTAAAATTTTTATTTATTTATGATAGTCACAGAGAGAGAAAGAGAGAGAGAGGCAGAGACATAGGCAGAGGGAGAAGCAGGCTCCATGCACCGGCAGCCCGATGTGGGATTCGATCCTGGGTCTCCAGGATCGCGCCCTGGGCCAAAGGCAGGCGCCAAACCGCTGCGCCACCCAGGGATCCCTCATCTGGGGAACTTTTAAAGATTTTGATGCTCATGCCTCATACCAGAGATTTGGATTGAATGGATCAGGATAGGAGCTTGAGCATAAGCATATGCTTAAAAGTTACCTAGGTGGTCCTGATAAACAGTTGAATATACAAATGTTCTTTTATCTCCTGTACAGAGGAGTATGGAGAAATAAAGTATTTATGTGGCTCATATTACTTATGTAGGAATCCAAATATAGATAGATAAGTGGGATGATTTATGCAACAAATCCAAACATTTTCTGAACCCAGATTCAGAATGCTGTTCTGGTTGATTTATAAACATGTAGGTTTCTTTTCATTGTTAAACAGTTGCATTGGCCCAACCTATTTTATACCTCCTTATCTCTTAAAGCTTGTACACTCTGTATTACTTTACAGATTATTTAAGACAGAGAGAGGAAAAAAAAAAAAAAGAGAGGAGGTGTTAGGTAGGCCTCACTAATCCTGAAGTCATTTCTTCTTCTTCTTTTTTTTTTTTCCCTGAAGTCATTTCTATGAAAATGTTCTTTGTTTACTATCCCTAAAATATTTATATAGATTTTGGATACTACCTCAAATTTTTTGACTTTATGGAAAATTGTTAAAATAATATTGCTCTATATGCTTTGTACTTTCATTTTAAAATGACAGTACTGATATTATTTCTGTTTTCTTTCCTTCCCTTTGTTCTATATATTTTCTCCATTTCATTCATTTATTATTTCCTCTAAAGATTTTATTGTTAAGTATATTTTTCTCCATTTTAGGTTCCTATTGGCATATGAATTTGTACTTCCCACCACATGAGGGAGTTTATTTGGGAATGCTAAGCATGCATTGTGAAAAATACACAAGTACAAATGCAAATAGAATAGCTTGCATAAATTTCATTTAGTGTTGAAAATTTAGGATTTTTGCATAAATAGTCTGGTAACATGCAGTAGTTCCATTTCATAATTTTTTTTAAAAAACAAATGCTAACAACTGAGGGATTTCATAATTTTCAGATGGACCATCAACAGATAAAGACCCCGAAGAAAAGAAAAAAGATACTGCAATTACATCACAGAATAGCCCTGAAGCAAGAGAAGAAAGGTATGTCACTTTATGGAAATTCATTTCTGTTGGAAGTCACAGCTGTCACTTCCTCCATGGTCTTATTTATGGTTTCATAGCTCTACTCCTCTCTCTATTTTCTAGTCAAGCGGAATTAGTAAATGTATATAGCCAAATAGAATATTCTAAAGTTTTATGAGATTTTCCTGGAAATTTGAAAGAGATTTAGAAGACACTACATAAATAAGGAGAAATTATTTACACTGTGTTCAGCAAGCTTAACTGAATGGAATCCCTGGGATAGCAACTATAATAGAATTGATAATGAGGGTACTGATTAAGGAAGGATTCAAGTGATTACTTTATTTACCACATTTCTTTTTTAGATTTTTTTTTTTGGCTCTAGGTCTAATTTCTCTTTTTATGCTTTTTCTCTTCTCAATTTAGCTATGTCGTAAGAATTTAAAATGTGAAGCTCAGTAATGAAGGGTTCAAATTGTTCCTCAGTTTTCATGAGGCCTTTGCATTTATTCTTTCCATGTAATGAATGAACTGTATAATATCCAACATGTTGATGTAGTAGGTGATATGCCTAGTAGGTTGAATATAGTTCCTCTGTTCTTGAAGAGCTTGTATTTTAACACTTGACTTTGACGTAGTGCAATAGTTCTCAAAGTGTGGTCCTGGAAGATCGGGGAATCTGGCAGCTTGTTAGCAAAGCAAATTCTTGGGCTACTCCCTAGAACTACTGAAACAGGAATTCTGATGGTGGGGCCCAGAAATATGTTTTTAACAAACTCTTCAAGTGATCCTGATGCACTCAAATTTTAGGTACCTATTGTAACTTCATTCATTTCTTAGTATTTTCCCAGAAATGATAATGTAACCACCCCTGTTGGTTCATAACAATAATTAATATCCCATATACTGGTATCTTATGCATTCGAATTAACTAAACGATGATAAAAGAGGTACTCTAAAGAAAGGATAAGCATCAGTTGTTAATAAAATTTATTCATTGTTTTCTAACTCTTTTGAGATAGTTTTAGACTTTTAGAAAATTGTAATAACAGGACAGAGAACTCCCAGTTGCCACTATGTATGTATATGCATACGTGTACATGTGTGTACATACTCAGATGCATGAATAATTTTATTTCAAACCAAATAAGAGTTCTTTATATCCCTAAATACATCAGTGTGTATGTTCTAAAAAGAAGGACACTTTCTCACATCTAAGCACAATACAGATACCAATGTCTAGAAGTTAGGATTAATACAATACTTTTTTTCTAATATGTAGGGCTTATTCATATGTTAGCAGTTTTCCCAATACAGTATTTTATTAGAGAGGAAAAAGGTTTTTCCATAATATCATCCAGGATCACTTACTGCATTTAGCTATCATCTCTGGTTTCCTTTAATCTGGAGTAATTTTTTTTTCTTTTTTTTTTAATATATATATATATTTTTTAATTTTATTTATTTATGATAGTCACAGAGAGAGAGAGAGAGGCAGAGACACAGGCAGAGGGAGAAGCAGGCTCCATGCACCGGGAGCCCGACGTGGGATTCGATCCCGGGTCTCCAGGATCGCGCCCTGGGCCAAAGGCAGGCGCCAAACCGCTGCGCCACCCAGGGATCCCCAATCTGGAGTAATTTTTCAATCTATCACTGTCTTTCATGACCATAAGAGTTTTGAAAAGTATAGGCCATAATTTATGAAATTTTTACTTCTTTTTTTTTTTTTACTTTTTTTTTTTTTTTTTTAATTTATGATAGTCACAGAGAGAGAGAGAGAGAGGCAGAGACACAGGCAGAGGGAGAAGCAGGCTACATGCACCGGGAGCCCGACGTGGGATTCGATCCCGGGTCTCCAAGATCGCGCCCTGGGCCAAAGGCAGGCGCCAAACCGCTGCGCCACCCAGGGATCCCAATTTATGAAATTTTTAACGAATGCTTTCAGTTGTGTTACATTTAAAGTCACTGACTTTGTGCCTTGAACATAAAATATAAAAGCATAGGCAGATATTTTAAATAGATATTGAAGGAAGAATAAGTTCTTAGTATATTTTTATCTGTTGTATGTAATTGAAGTTTAGGGAGAGGGCCTATTTACAAAAGCATCGAATTATGTACGAAGTCTAACAGAATGGTTGGTATTTATCCCTAAACACACGTGCTTACACACACTGTCTCTGAAGAAGATGAGGCTTCTGGAAGGAGGTGATTAAACAGAAGGTATACAGAAGGACTGTTCTGCCCATGGGGATCTGTTTGTGCAGTTTGATAGTGGCTTATGGAGAGAGAGAGTAGGAGGTACCTCCTTGCAGCAGTGCAGCAAGTTACTCTGTGGCTGGCAAATGGTGTCTTTGGAAAGGTTTGTGGCAAATACCTTCTATGTGATAAGTGGTAATTGAAACCCTGCAGAAAATATTTCGGTGAGACTCTTAAGTTAGAAGCAATTGAAGTGATTACGTTGAGTGGAAGACTTAAATTGTCCTGATTGAGTTGATATTTCTAGGGAGGAATTAAAGAGACATTTTCATAATATTACAACTCTTTTCTCAGTACACATTTTCTCTCCTGAAGGAAGTGTTTTGAATATAAACCTCATTTGTTGTCTAATTGGAACAAAGTTTTTCAAACATTGTTTTTCCCCTGTAGTTTTGGTTGAGAACTGTCATATTCTCTGGTATCATCCCCTCACCCCTCTCATAACCGAGATCCTTGCTGTCATTCAGTATTGAGCTGTAGTGTGTGTGTTTTTTTATTATTATTAAAAATGGTTTAAGGTTTAAAAGGATAATCAAGATGGTTAGTTGGTTAAAAGCATGAAACGTGTTTCAGATTGACTAAAATTTTAACTTTATATTTTTATTTTTTTAAAGATTTTTTATTTATTCATGACAGACACAGAGAGAGGGGCAGAGACACAGGCAGAGGGAGAAGCAGGCTTTCTGCAGGGAGCCCAAAGAGAGATTCGATCCTGGATCCCAGGATCACGCCCTGAGCTGAAGGCAGACACTCAACTGCTGAGCCACCAGGCGTCCCAAATTTTAACTTTTTAGACATCTGTATGCACACAATTTTTTTTTTCATGTAGGAGTAACTGAATACTATCTCACATATTTAGGCCCCTCAATTTTTGTTTTTAGAGTGTGATAATCATGATGTTATTTTAATAGACTTTTTCTTGACTTCTTTTTCGTGTGTGTATGTGTATTTCAGTAGTTCCAGTGGCAATGTAAGCAGCAGAAAGGATGAGACAAATGCTCGAGATACTTATGTTTCATCTTTTCCTCGGGCACCAAGCACTTCTGATTCTGTGCGATTAAAGTGTAGAGAGATGCTTGCCGCAGCTCTCCGAACGGGAGGTAAGTTTAGTGTACCCTTTTCATTGCCCAGCCTTTTGTTCCTCACTGCCACCACTGTCATGTCCACCTCCATGTTTCTGGTTTACCAGCAGCATCCCAGGGATGGCTGCTTGCACTGCTTAGTTGAGGAAAATGTTGTGGCAAATAGGGGTTACTGATGGCAGAGAGGAATAGGTATGCTGGGGCCATTGCTTACTACTATACAGCTGCAAGAAAGAGATTCCTTCTAATATGTGGATGTTTCCATTGATTCATAGTAACTTAAAGGTTTTTCACAGATCTTTTTTCCTCCTACTTTTAATCTGTAAACCATAGTTGACCCTTGAACAGTAGGAGTTTGAAGTACTTGGGTTCACTTATAATGTAGATATTTTTCAACAGAAGCAGTACAATACTGTAAATGTGTTTCTCTCATGATTTTCGTAATCCTCAGCTTACTCTATGGTAAGAATACAGTATATAGTACATATAACATAAAATATGTGTTAATTGTTTATGCTATTGGTAAGGCTTCTGGTCAACAGTAGGCTATTACTAGTTAAGTTCCTGGGGAGTCAAAGGTTATATGCGGATTTTTGACTGCAGGGAGTTGGCGTCCCTAATCCCTGTGTTTTTCAAGGGTCAACTGTAATTACTCTGTTCCCCAGATTGAGCATTAATGGTAGTATATTTGGGTCTTGTTAAATGTTAGTATGACATACAGTATTTAAGTTTTATATTCATAATTCCATTTTTAATTTTTTTAAGTGGAAAAGAGATCTTGATTTATAAATGGGAGCCTTATTTAATTTGAAGTTCCCCATTCTTGGGGATCCCTGGGTGGCTCAGCGGTTTAGCGCCTGCCTTTGGCCCAGGGCGCGATCCTGGAGACCCGGGATCGAATCCCACATCGGGCTCCCGGTGCATGGAGCCTGCTTCTCCCTCTGCCCGTGTCTCTGCCCCCCCCCCCCCGTGACTATCATAAATAAATAAATAAATAAATAAATAAATAAATAAATAAATAAATTTTTAAAAAAAATTGAAGTTCCCCATTCTTGTGTAAAAAAAGTTTCATATATAGGAATTTTCATCATCTTACACAAATTCATTCTTTTCCTTTTCTATTATACTGAACCATAGTTAGCATGACCTATTTTTCTCCTTACTCTGCCTATTTATTCCCTTACTGTCTCTTTATTTATTTTTTCTTTTTTTCTTCCTAGTTTCTTTTTATTTCCTTCGGTTTGAATGTTGCATGGGAGTCTTCTGAGTGTGTCCATATATATGATTGGCAAATGAAATCAGTGGCTTCTTTGCATTGAAGCCTGAGTCATGTGAGACAAGACAGTTCTTTCTATAACTTTCTCTACTCTTTGCTGGAGCAACCAGAATTTATGGAGTTGTGAAATGGGGAATTGCCTGCTAATCACTCACTTTCTCACTCCTGCAGAATGAGTCATTAATGCAGAAGGACTGTGGGCATTAGGTGAATCCAGAGGAGGAATCTAATGGGTAGGAAAGAGATCAGGTTTCAATGAAATGAAAAAAAAAAAAAGGATTATTAGGGCAATGGGGTTGAAGAAATAGAAATGCAGTTTAATTTACTGTGTATTGAAATTTTCTTTCAGTATCTTGTAATCATTCTTGACAATTCTTTGTGTCTGTGTTTAGATGACTACGTCGCTATTGGAGCTGATGAGGAAGAATTAGGATCTCAGATTGAGGAAGATATCCTTTGTGTATAAATTCATGAATGTTTTAAATAATCTGCTTATTAACTATTTTTCTTCTTCCTGTATAGAATTTAGAGTTTCATTTTTCAATTTCTATGTTGATTGTATTGTTTTGCAGGGAAAGGATAGGATAGGGCCATCCACGTCATTTTATTCTTGTTTTTCAAAAGTAAAACATATATGTTTGATAGTATTTTAATTTTTTTGCCTTGCAAATTGATAATGTGGCATCTCAAGTGAACTTGTACAAAAGGGCATAAGGACACACATACTGTATGTGTGGAGTAGGGTTTTGTGTTTGGGAGATCTCAGCAAAGCATGCAAGGTCCCCTGAGTTCATGATCTAGGAGGGAAGTGTGTTTGTCCTGGGTACCATGGAAAGGGCTTTGGGAGAGAGGTTGTACCCATCTAGGTGACTGTGTGACCATGAAGCAATCCTAGTTGAGGAAATGGCCGTTTTAGAAATTGTGCTGCACTTTGGGCTCGCCTGTTCTGTTGAGAAAAACACCCTGCTAAACTTAAGCTTCTGGCTGAACTAGAGAAGGAAATGAATCTTTGGAGCTGTAATGAATGGTTTCTTCCCACAGGGCCCCCAAAGGAATTGTGTAGACATCAAGCCTTTTAAGATCTTTTGTAGAATTCGGATTTGGGCAAGTGGAAAGTTTAGATAAATGCAGGCCTTTTTCACAAGTTTTCTCAGACTGAGTACTTGAGTTACTTTTTGAAATGTCTTTAATTTGTGTGCTGCTGGCATTAAATGTTAAGAAAGCATTGCTCATTCATAGAATATAGGATTACTGTTACTTGCCAGCTACAGTTCAAAAAATGAGGTAGAAACACTGCCCTGTTAGCTTAATCTAAATTGGAGACAGTTTTAGAGAACTGCTTAGAGATTTCAGGAATTCTTATTTTGGTGAAATAGGGAAAAAAAATCTTGCCTTTGTAATTTAACCTTTTTTCCTTAATGGCCTAGTACCTATATATCAAGAAATAAGGAATACAGACATGAAATACAAAAATAGAGTACGAAGTAGGATATCAAATCTTAAAGATGCTAAGAATCCAAATTTAAGGAAAAATGTGCTGTGTGGAAACATTCCTCCTGACTTATTCGCTAGAATGACAGCAGAGGTGAGTAAATGAGAATATAACATTTCCATGATGTGATTACATAATATCAAATTAAAAATCTTTGTAAATTGTGAAGTACTATATAAGTACTACATTTCTAATAAATCATTATTAGTTATTCTGATGTATTTATATGTATAATATACTAGCTAAATAAGGTGGTTGAATCTGTTGGTATCAGTAGTCTTGTCTCTTCCACACCTGTACCACGATCTTGGGTTGATTGCTTTAAATTGTCTAAAAACAAAAATATTTTTACTTTTTTTTTGATTCATATATAATTGAATATTTGAATATATAATTGCAAACAGACTTTGCAACCTTTAAGTTTTTTTCATGGTTAAACCCTGTAATACTGGTCACATCTTATTGACTCTTCCTTAAATTTTAGGAAATGATGGAGGAAATGAAACTCAGAACTTGCTATTTATAGACACAGCAGTTCATAGTCTGTGGTCTCTTTTAGAAGAGAGTGAGTTTGTCTTTCCATATAGCTAATAAAAATTGTTATATTTTTAACATTCATTTTTTTTAAACCTCACTAAAACTTTAAATTAGAGACCTTAGGGTAATGAACTCCTATATATCCACCACCCAGGCTTCAGATATTTTCAAGAGTTTGTCACCATTGGGGCTCCTCGGTGGCTCAGTTAAGCATCTGCCTTTGGTTCGGGTCATGATCTCAGGGTCCTGGGATTGAGCCCTGGGTCGGGCTCCCTGCTCTCAGGGGAGTCTGCTTCTCTCTCTGTCCCTGCTTATGCTCTCTCTCTCTCTCTCTCTCTCTCAAATAACTCAAATCTTAAAATAAAAGAATTTGTGACACTTTTCATGTCTCTTTTCCCCTGAATTGTTTGCTTGCTTTCTTTTCCTTCCTTCCTTCCTTCCTTCCTTCCTTCCTTCCTTCCTTCCTCCCTTCCTCCCTTCCTCCCTTCCTCCCTTCCTCCCTTCCTCCCTTCTTCCCTTCCCTTCCCTTCCCTTCCCTTCCCTTCCCTTCCCTTCCCTTCCCTTCCCTTCCCTTCCCTTCCCTTCCTTTCTTTTCTTTCCTTTCTTTTCTTCACAGAGAGAGGCAGAGGGAGAAGCAGGCTCCATGCAGGGAGCCCGATATGGGACTCGACCCCGGGTCCCCAGGATCACACCCTGGGCCGAAGGTGGTGCCAAACCGCTGAGCCATCCGGGCTGCCCCAGTGGGTTTGGATATTAACAGTCTGATTCCTTCATTGTAAAATTCTCTATTGACCTTTCCTCTGATGTACTCATCCACTGATTTCTTTACCTGAATTGGTTAAATTTTTAAGAGTTGCAAAATAGTGATTTCTTAAATTCTTTCATTCCTTTCACATTTATTAGCTAGGTTTCTTTGATTAAGAAGCACTTTCCCTTGTAAACTCAGGCACCGGGTTATCCTTTTGGTTTAATAGGAAAGGCAGGTAAATGTGAAATTCTTTCCCTTTTGTTAACAGTTATGAGAATGAGGAATTGGTGCCCTAGTAACTGCCAGTGAGGGCTTTGTTGCTGTTTTTGCATGCTTGTGCTCTCCTTTTTCACTGTCATCAGGGACTTGTGACATTTTTATCCATTCAGTGGGGATTGGTTCTTTACAATAATTTGATAACTAGAGAAATTGTCCTCCTATCTTTGGCTGGTAGGAACACCTTCATGTTAGCCCCTCTGTCCATATGACTCAACCACAAGTCTTTGGTAGCTTCTGTGCCTCTTAGGCACAAAAGAATGACCCTGTCTTATCCTGTGCATTTCTTTCTTTCTTTTTTTTTTCTTAGAGAGATATAGAGCAAGGGTGGTGGTGGCAGGGTGCAGAAGGAGAGGGAGCCCATATAGGAGCCCACTGCAGGGCTTGATCTCACAACCCTGAGATCATGACCAGAGCCAAAACCAAGAGTTGGGTGCCTAACCGACTGAGCACCTAGATACCCCAAATCCTGTGCACATCTTAACTCATAGAGGGAACGACATACTTCTCCAAAGATCCTGGTTCCTTTTTGGGAAGGGCAGTCGTACAGACAACAATCTATACTAGAGGTACTCATTGCTACAGTATTATTACATTGTTTATAAACCTTTAAACAGTAATTAAATCTAATTTTCACAATACACACAAGTATTTGACAGAATTTTAAAAGAGCAAACTCTGAGTTGAGGAAAAAATAATTTTTCACTTTTAAAACTTTAAAAGTTGGTTTTTGTTCTATTTTTATTAAGCTAATGGAACATAAAAGCATTCAGAATGTATATAGAAGATGCCTATAACTGAGTGTATTGCCATCTCCCTCAGGAAATGGCTAGTGATGAACTCAAAGAGATGCGGAAAAACTTGACCAAAGAAGCCATTAGAGAGCATCAGATGGCCAAGACGGGTGGAACCCAGACTGACTTATTCACATGTGGCAAATGTAAAAAGAAGAATTGTACTTACACACAGGTTTGTGATTATTTATAGACTCTTATTTTCATGTTAAGAATGCTGGAGGGTATATATGGTAAGGCAAGTAAGTCAGAGAAAGACAAACACCATATGATCTCGCTTATGTGTAGAATCTAAAACAAACAGTAGAAACACTCACATACAGAGAATAAACTGGTGGTTGTTGGAGAAGAGGGGGTGGGGGATGCCTGAAATAAATGAAGATTAGAGATTAAGAGGTACATACTTCCCAGTTATAAAATAAGTCACAAGGGTATAATACATAGCATAGAGGATATAGACAGTAATATAGTAACTTTGTCTAGTAACAGTACTAAAATCATTTTGTAATGGGTAAAAGTACCAAATCACTATGTTGTACACCTGACACTAATAAAATATTGTCAATTATAATTCAGTTAAAACTAAATACATAGAGTGCTTACAACTCCTGTTTCAAAACAAGTAGTAAAGATAATTACCAGTACTTTGATTGATATTTTACAAGAGGAGATGTGAACTATTCAGTCTAGTTAATTGAAAGTAAGTTGGTATATTTATATTTTCATGAAAGTTATGTGAAAGCTCTATCAATTAAATAAAACTTATAGAAAAAAACATTGTAGGATGTAATGAAATGGCCATATTCTTTATCTAAGAGTTGAGCAGTTGATTATTGGGTATAATTATTTTTATCTGACAGGATTGTATAATTTAAGGAAAGCTCTTTACTATTCCTCACTGGGAACGTGGGTACTTTTAGCTTAACTGCTTTCCAGATACAGATTCTTTTTCTGCAACATATATATTTTTTTAAGATTTTATTTATTCATGAGAGGGAGAGAGAGAAATAGAGACACAGGCAGAGGGAGAAGCGGGCTCCATGCAGAGAGCCCGTGGGACTCCATCTTGGGTCTCCAGGATCACACCCTAGGCTAAAGGCAGTGCTAAACCACAAAGCCACTCCGGCTGCCCTTTGTTCTTGAACAAAAAAGAAAACTGAGAAGATCCTCATAGTGGTTATTTTTGGGGTGTGTGTGTGTGAAAATGGTTTTTCACTGGTAATTTCCTTTGTCAAGTAGCTATTTTTTGTGCTGTGTCTGTAATCTACTAAACTCAAATTTTCCCCTTTAAGAACAACTTACAGTTAATGTTTTAGAGTAATGGATTTAGGAAAATGAATTTTCTGATGGACAGAAAATTAAGCAGTTAAGAAAGTAGTATTATTAAACTCCATATAAATTGTAGAAGGAACCTTTACTTTTTTGAATGGTTTTTATTGATTTTAGGGGGCGATCTCTCTATTTCCTGGATCTGAATGCCTGTTTCCCTTCCCAGATTGGGAAAGTTTTCAGCTAGGATTTGTTCAAATACATATTCTGGCCCTCTGTCCCTTTCGGCGCCCTCGGGAAACCCAATTAAACGTAGGTTTTTCTTCCTTAGGCTGTCATTTATTTCCCTTAATCTGTCTTCATGGTCCTTTAATTGTCTGTCTCTTTTTTCCTCAGTTTCCCTCTTTGCCATTAACTTGTCTTCTATGTCACTCACTCGTTCTTCCACCTCGTTAACCCTCGTCGTTAGGACTTCTAGTTTGGATTGCATCTCATTCAATTGATTTTTAATTTCTGCCTGATTGGATCTAAATTCTGCAGTCATGAAGTCTCGTGAGTCCTTAATGCTTTTTTCTAGAGCCACCAGTAGCTGTATAATAGTGCTTCTGAATTGGCTGTCTGACATTGAATTGTAATCCAGATTTTGTAACTCTGTGGGAGAGAGGGCTGTTTCTGATTCTTTCTTTTGAGGTGAGGTTTTCCTTCTAGTCATTTTGCTCAGTGCAGAGTGGCCAAAAACAAGTTGTATTGGAACACGGGGGAGTATCACTGGTCCGTCCAGCTGGTCTTCTGGGGGAGGGGCCTGCTGTGCTGATTCTCAGGTGTTAGCACTTGGGGGAGATGCTCTGCCCCTGCCTGCTGCCGGGCTCAGCGGGGGTTGTTTACCCCGTGAGGCCCCAGGAGGAACAGCCGCAGTTGCTATGGCAACTCTGGAAGCCTGGAGTCAGCCCCCGCAGGAACTACGGGCTCGGGGCTCTCGGTTCTCCGTCTTTAGGGCCTGGAGGCTCCGGGGCGGGGCCGCTGATCTGCTCAGCTCTGGGCAGGAGCGTCCTCGCTGTCCTGGGCCCTCCCGGCCTCTGCCTGTCCCAGGGGGAGGCCGGATCCTGGGCTGTGTCCCGGCGCCCTGTGCTCCGGGGCCTGCGCTGTGGGATTCGCGCTCCCGCCCCGCAGCCCCCTCCGCGGAACCGCCGCCCGAGCCCCTCCGAGCTGCTCCGGTCGGTCCCTCCGTGCGCGCTGCAGCCCTTAGGGAGCTTGGAGCACTCTCCCGGGGCGCAGGTGTCTGTTAGTGTCCCCGGGAGCCCGAGAGCATCCCCGCTCTCCTGGGTCCTGCTCTGACTCCCTGCGAGCCCCTTTCCGCCCGCCCGGGAAGGTTGGTGCAGCTCCTGCTTCTCCGGCCTCAGCCCGGCTCCTCGCAGGGCCCCTCCCCCTCGGAGGCCTTTTGTTCCTTTATTTCTTTTTCCCCGTCTTCCTACCTTGATAGAAGCGCGAACTCTGCTCACTGTAGCATTCCAGCTGGTCTCTCTTTACATCTCAGGCCGAATTCGTAGATTTTCAGGATGATTTGAAGGTTATCTAGGTAATTTTTTGGGGGACAGGTGATTTGGGGACCCTGCTCTTCCGCCATCTTGCCCCTCCTCCAACCTTTACTTTTTTAAAAAAAATTTTTTAGAAGGTGTTGTATTCTCAAGGTTAAAGATTCAAAAGGTAGAAAAGATTCTAAATGGAAAGTTCCCCTCCCAATTTTGTCTGCAGCAACTCGGTCCCACCTCCCTGGAGGTAAACCAGGATTACTAGTTTGTTTGTTGTGTGGCTTTCTATGTGTTTTATGCATATACATATAAGTATGAATATATTTTTGTTTTCTCTTTTTAAAGTTTATTTTTTATATTTTTTAGTAATCTCTACACCCAACATGGAGCTCAGACTCAAAAACCCCAAGATCAAGAATTGCATGCTCTTTTGACTGAGCCAGCCAGGCACCTCCGTTTTCCCATTTCTTAATTATATGTGGTAGCACATTATATAAACTTCTGCCTCTTTTATTTTTTAAGGTACATAACACTCCTGTTTTCAGATATGCTCTATTTAACCAATCAAAAATTCTCTACCTTTTTGAAGTCTTTCATTTTTAGTTATGTATCCGATATTTCAGTATTTTGTAGAAATATTACTACTGAGAGTCACTAAAATATATTAACATATGAAAGTAGCTTCAGAAATTTTTGAGTTTGAATTGCTGTTTTCTTTTGATTAGGTAGAAAAATCTCAGCAATAAAAATTCTGTCCTGAAAATGCTGCATAGTAGGAAGTGTAAAGTATAAATGGAAAGGTATTTAAAAGCTAAAGCTTGGATCCCTGGGTGGCTCAGCGGTTTGGCGCCTGCCTTTGGCCCAGGGCGTGATCCTGGAGACCCCAGATCGAATCCCACGTCGGGCTCCCGGTGCATGGAGCCTGCTTCTCCCTCTGCCTATGTCTCTGCCTCTCTCTCTCTCTCTCTCTCTCTCTCTGTGACTATCATAAATAAATAAAAAAATAAAAAATAAATAAAAGCTAAAGCTTCTTTAAAACATTTGAAGTAGGGGCACATGGGTGGCTTAGTCAGTTGAGTATCTGACTCTTGATTTCTGCTTAGGTCATGATCTCAGGGATCAAGTCTCGAGTTGAGCTCCGCACTCAGCATAGAGTCTGCTGGAGGTTTTCTCCGTCCGCCCCTCCCCCTGCTTATGCTCTTTCTCTCTCTCTTTCTAAATAAAATCTTAAAATAAAAGTGAGTTAGAAGTGATATATTTACATTGCTACAATAAAGATGTTTCTTTTAATAGAACCTAGTCTAAAGATGAAGTCAGTATGGTTTTCTTAGAATCAAATAATTCTGTCAAGATATAAAACTTCTAAAGTTGGCAAAATAACAGATATAAGACTTAAGTTTGACTTTTGGTTAACATGTACCTACCAGGAGATTAACATTTTGCCCAGAGAGTAAAAAGTTCCTCCTATCTATGTACTTTTAGGGCCCTAGTTAGCAAGTATCTTGATATAGATGAATGAGAATATTTCAGAAGGACTTTTCAAAGCACTTTTATCTGAAGGCCTTAAATAATCAGAATGCTTATTTTGAGAATGCCTTTTATATCTCTTTGGGCTTTTTTATTTTTTTTTATTTTTTTAAATTTATTTACGATAGTCACAGAGAGAGAGAGAGAGAGGCAGAGACATAGGCAGAGGGAGAAGCAGGCTCCATGCACCGGGAGCCCGACGTGGGATTTGATCCCGGGTCTCCAGGATCGCGCCCTGAGCCAAAGGCAGGCGCTAAACTGCTGCGCCACCCAGGGATCCCCTCTCTTTGGGCTTTTGAGTTAAAAATCATGGTGATAGTTGACAAGTATTGTGTGCTTCTCATCTTTGAAGCAGTCATATACTGGATTTCATCATCCCACACTAAATTTAAATAGACCTTATTTAGAATGCAATATTTTTGATATTCAGGTTCTTGCCTTCACTCATTTTCCTTATCTGCCCCGTGACTTAGACCTAAGAATAACTTTTAACTTTAATAATGTGTTGTCAGCTTCATTCAGGAATGTATGGTTGAAAGATAACCTATCTTTGGGACCTTGTTTTCATTAATTCTCAGTAGAGAACTTGAGAAGTCTATTATCTTATGTTGATTAAATTTTTAAAAATCATATTAGCTTTATTTTTTTTCCTAAGTTCTCTTTTTGTTTTAAAGCTTACAGTTGTGGCAAAATACACATAGTCTAAAATTTACCACTTTAACCATTTTTAAGTATACAGTTGAGTAGTAGTACATTCATAATACTGTGGTGATCTCAGGGACTCTTTTTCTCTTGCAAAACTGAAACTCTATATACCCATTAAACAGTAACTGCACATTTCTCTAGCTCTTGGCAACCACCAGTCTCTGCATTTGACTATTCAAGTAGTCAAAATGATAAATGGAGCCTAATAAGAATATTTTTCCTTTTTTGTCCCTGGCTTAGTTCTAATACTTGATCTATTCTAAGGTAGTAATTAGAAACACAAAGATCTATGTACAGATCAACATCATTAATCATCAGGGAAATGCAAATTAAAACCATATAATCATAAATGGCCATCCATATTATATAGCATGTGTCAGAATTTCCTTCCTTTTTAAGGCTGAATAATAATCCACTGTATGTAATACCACATTTTATTTTATTTTTTATTTTTTTAAATTTTTTATTTATGATAGTCACACACACACACACACACACACACACACACACACACAGGCAGAGACATAGGCAGAGGGAGAAGCAGGCTCCATGCACCGGGAGCCCGACGTGGGACTCAATCCCGGGTCTCCAGGATCGCGCCCTGGGCCAAAGGCAGGCGCTAAACCGCTGCGCCACCCAGGGATCCCAATACCAAATTTTATTTATCCATTCATCTAGTGATGGACATTGGGTTGCTTCTACCTTTGGGCTATTATGAATAATGCTGCTATGAACTTCTGTATACAAATACCTCTTTGAGACCCTGCTTTCCATTCTTTTGTATATATTCTCAGGAGTAGGAATTCTGGGTCATAAGAGCTTTGTTTTTGTTTTTTAAATAAGAGAGAGGGTGGGAAGAGGCAGAGGGAGAGAGAGAATCTTAAGCAGACTATATGCCCATTGCGAAGCCTGATGTAGGGCTCAGTCCCACAACCCCCTAGCCAAAATCAAAAGTCAGACATTTAACCAACAGCCACCAGGCACCAGCTGTTTTAAAGCAATGTAAAGTACTATTTATAGAAAAATAGAAAAATATGAACAAAAATTTTAAAATCACCTATTAATCTGAATTCAGAAAGAACAGTGGTCAGTATTTTGGTGCCTACAGTATTTTATGATTTTTTTTTTCCTAATCTAATTGCAGCTAAATGCTACAAACCAGTTTTTAAAAAGATTTTATATATTAGCAAGCATGAACAGATGGGAGGGGCAGAGGGAGAGGGAGAAGCAGACTCCCCACTGAACAGGGAGGCCTGTAGGGGTAGGACTTAATCCCAGGACCCTGAGATCATGACCTGAGCTAAAGGCAGATGCTTAAGTGACTGAGCCACCCCTGACACCCTCATAAACCATTTTATACACAGTTGACCATTGAACAACAACGGATTTTAACTGCATGAGTCCACTTACAATTTTTTTCAACAAATACATGTCTGGTACTGTAAATATATTTTCCTTTTGATTATCTTTTTTTTTTAAGATTTTTTTTTATTATTTATTGATTCATAAATAATGATAGAGAGAGAGGCAGAGACACAGGCAGAGGGAGAAGCAGGCTCCGTGCCGGGAGCCCGACGTGGGACTCGATCCCGGGACTCCAGGATTGCGCCCTGGGCCAAAGGCAGGCGCCAAACTGCTGAGCCACCCAGGGATCCCCCTTTTGATTTTCTTAATCACGTTTTCTTTTCTGTAGCTTGCTTTAAGAATCAGTATATTGTACATATAACCTACAAAATATGTATTAATTGACAGTTTGTGTTGTTGGTAAGACTTGTAGTCAATTGTAGGCTATTAGCAGTTGCATTTTGGGGAGCGTTAGATGTGGGTGTTCAACCGCAGGAGAAGTTGGCATTCTTAACTCCCACATCGTTCAAGGGAGAACTGTATTTCTTTTCACTTACTACTATAATAATGTTAACATTTTCCTTTAATTATTAAAAACAACACCTTTGTAAACATCTTAATCACTGTATAATATTCCATCAGATTGGTATGCTCTTTTATCATTATTTCCCTATTGGATATTTAAGTTTCTTCCAGTGTTTGTACTGTTATAAAATTAAACTCTTCAAACATCCCTGTACACAGATCTCCCACACCCAACTTTATGAGGAATAATTGACATATAATTGATTTTTTTTTAAAAAGATTTTATTTATTTACTCATGAGAGACATAGAGAGAGGCAGAGACATAGGCAGAGGGAGAAGTAGGCTCCCTGCAGGGAGCCCGATGCAGGACTTGATCCCAGGACCCTGGGATCACAACCTGAGCCAAAGGCAGACGCTCAATGGCTGAGCCACCTAGGCGTAAAATTGAATGTTTTTAAAGTGTACACTGTGATGATTTGATACATATACACATTGTAAAATGATTATCAAGATAATTAACAAATCTGTTACCTCACATAATTAACTTTTTTTTTTTTTTGGTGTTGAGAATGCTTAAGATCTACTCTAGCTATGGTCACAGTGCTGTATATTTGATCCTCAGAAATTACTCTTTTTATAGGTGAAAGTTTATGTCCTTTGACTTACATCTCTCCATTTCCCACTTCTCTCAGCCTCTGACAACTACCATCTGTTCTCTGTTTCTATGAAATCAACTTTTTAAAATTAATTAATTAATTAAGATGTCACGCAGTGATACCATATAATATTTGTTGTTCTCTGGCATATTTTATTTAGTATGCCTTCCAAGTCCATCTGTGTTACCTAAAATGGTAGGATTTCCTGCTTTTTTATGGCTGAATAATATTGTGTGTGTGTGTGTGTGTGTGTGTGTGTGTTGTGTGTGTACACACCACTTTTCTTTACCCATTTTTTATCAGTTCTTCAACTGAAGGACTTTTAGATTGTTTTCCTATCTTGGCTATTGTGAATAATGCTGCAGTGGACAAGGGTATGTAGATAACTCTTTAAGGTGCTGATTTCATTTCCTTCAGATACATTAGTGGAATAGGATTGCTGGATCATAAGGTAGTTGATTTTATTTTTTATGCTGGCTCTTTCTTTCTTTCTTTCTTTCTTTCTTTCTTTCTTTCTTCTCTTTCTCTCTCTCTCTCTCTCTCTCTCTCTTTTTCCTTTCCTTTCCTTTCTTTCCTTTTCTCTTCTCTTCTCTTCTCTTCTCTTCTCTTCTCTTCTCTTCTCTCTTCTCTTTTTTCTTTCTTTCTTTTCTTTTCTTTTCTTTTTTTTTAAAGTCAGGTCTACCCTCCACAATGTGGGGCTCAAACTCACGACCCTGAGATCAAGAGTTGCATGGTCTACCAACTGAGCCAGCCAGGCATTCCTGTGGTAGTTTAATTTCTAATTTTATTTTTTTGAGGAACTGCCATCCTGTTTTCCATAATGGATATACCAGTTTATATTCCTACCAACAGTGTACAGGAGTTCCCTTTTCTCCACATCCTCAGCAACATTTGTTATCTCTTGTTTTTTGATAATACTCATTCTAACCTCACCTGTGAGGTGATATTTCCTTGTGGTTTTAATTTGCATTTCTGTAATGATTAATGATGTGGATCTGTACACACGTCTTTATTTGTGTTTCTAATTAGCATCTTAGAATAGCTCAGATGTCAAGTTCCTAGGTCAGAGAGAATGGATATTTAAGGTTCTTACCTTGTTACTGCATAAAACTTTTAGAAAGATTGTGATAGTTTATATTTTTCAGAATGAAATATTCATAATTTTTACATCACTGCTAATTTATAAGAGAAGATGGACTATCTTTTAACATTTCTGTGCTCCTAGTGATGATGAAAATTTTTAATATTTATTAGCCATTTTTGAAAAGTATGTGTGATGATTTTCCCATTTATCTGGGATAAATTAAACATGAAAAGAAGAAATGACTTAGAAAAATGAAGTTTTGAAATATATGTCCTTTGACATTACTTAGCTTATTTGAACTTGCTTCAGGCTCTTATACATTTTATCTTCAAATTGTGGTTATTGTATATCTTAATGTAAAATGTTTCTATTTAGGTTTGACTTTTTATAGTATTGTAAAAAGTAATATTTTTCGCTTGATTTTGCTACAGGTACAAACTCGTAGTGCTGATGAACCAATGACAACGTTTGTTGTCTGCAATGAATGTGGAAATCGATGGAAGGTATCTCTGACACTTTCTTATATTCGTATTTTACCCATTTATAATAGATTTATTCATGTCTTTTCATTCAGATACCTAGGTATCTAAATATATACATCTGCTCATGCTGTCTAATACTATGCAAGACCATGATGAACCATTTTATTTTTATTTATTTATTTATTTATTTATTTATTTATTTATTTATTTATTTATTTATTTTTTTTATGATGAACCATTTTAAAGGAATATACTATATTGTACTCTATTAGAAATTAAGAGTGTTAACTTAATTTTCATATTGTTTTACTGCAGGAGTAACAGGATTGAATCTTAACTGTGTAATTATCATATCATAGTTGTGTATATATTATACTCATTTAATTGCTTTGACTCTTGTACTTCCAGATAATCTGTACCTTGGGTATTACTTGTCTTCATTGATTTTGATTCTGGAAAGATTACTTTACCTTGTTGAAATCCATCCAGCAGGATAGTTTTAGTGTTTATTTTAGGAATTTCACAGAGGAGCACTGTCATGGTTTGGTAGGCTTTTCTCTGAGCCTTCATATTGCCTCTGTACTCTTGAATTAGCCCCACACAGGCAAGTGTATGTTATTTAAATGATCTCTTCTTGAGTGATTTTTGTGAGCAACAGAAATATAACTTAAACTTGGGAGAAGAATTAGACGTTACTTCCGAAACCATTTTTGTTGTTAACAGAGATGGGGATCCTAGGGGTGTGTGGTTGGAGAGGTTCATGTGGTAGGAATATAGTCTTTGGAGCCAAACAGACTTTGAACTCTGCTTCTTATCATTAGTGAACTATAATTTTCTCACATATTAAATGTAAATAATATCTACATCACAGGCTGTGTTGAAGAGTACAGGTAATATATTTTAAAAGTGCCTGATAATTGTTGCTATTCCAAAAATATGGATTGCATTTATTAGTTTTTGTGAAGCTTGTATGATTCTTTTTTTTAAAGCTATACTTAGCTTTAGCCCTTTACTCTGTTGCTTATTTTGAATTATTCACATAAGTGAAAGCATTTTCTGAAAATCAAGTGAATTAAATGCTAGGCAGTGGGGGAATATCCTCCACAAATATGGTATAGGACTTTGGCCCTAGACATTATTTCAGGGGTTGAGGCCAGTACCCATTTTATTATATACAAATTCAGTTCTGAGCTGAGAAGGTTCCTGGTATTGAGAATGTCTTCATTATTTGAAACAATGTCTCCTATCCTGAGTTGTAGAAGTTTTTTGCATTGGTTGAAAAGAGGGACATTCATTTTTTAATTATTTATTTTTCGTCTTGTTGAGCAAATCTGGCTTTTTCAGATTGCTCTTAGATTTATTTTGCAAAATGGATGATAATATGATAATGATGATGATGATGATTACTGTTACTGTTGGGCATATTGCAGTTTGTTTTGAATACAGGCAGTTTGGAGCATAGTTTTGACGTAGTATCTCTTGGATTTAAGAAAGTTCAATTTAATGTAGAAAGCTGATGCCTAAGGGTGGCTTACTCTAGAAGTTCAAGTTTGGAATTCATTTTTTAAATTCATTTTTTTAACCTAGAAGCATTAAAAAGAGGGGTGCGTATTAAATATAATATTTCTTCAGTTTATATTCCTACTGATTCTAAATTGGAAAAGTCAAACACTTAGGTGTCTGTTCATGTCTAAGAAATATAGCATCTTTTAAAAAAATGCCTCTTTCTTTAGCAGTATAAGATGTATACTGTATTAAATGGGGGCGGGGTACACCCCATTGTCTGTATTTAAAGGTCTCATGAAATATTTCTCTCTCTTTTTTTTTTTTTTGACAGTTCTGTTGAGTTGGAAGAAATGGCAAAATGTCTGGACCATTAAAAAATGGATTTTGTAATTAGCTTTAAAACTAGGCCAAAAAATAAAAAAATAAAAAAAAATAAATAAAATAAAACTAGGCCAAACATCTAGTTTTCCTGCAAATCAGATTTTTAAAGTAACATACATCCCTTGGGTTAGTCTTGGTTTTGACATAGCATTCCTTCCTATTAAATGCCTTCTGTAGTTTCAGATCAGTAGGGAGACCACATAATTATATCTGTTTCAGAACATTTTTTTTTTCATTTTTATAGTAAGTCAATGTTAAACTTTTGTCAATTAGACTTTTGGCAATTTATTTTTACCTTTTTTTTTTCTTTTAAAAGGAAAATATACCTTAACTTTTTTACAGTCCAAAACATATGCAGTAGTAATATTGTTCTTCTCAGTTAATACATAAATGGAAATTACTTTTTTTTCCCCCATATTGGCACGTACCTACAAATTGTAAAGGAGGAGAAAAGGTAACTTAAGTTTATTAAGTGTGGTGTGTATTCAGATAATACTTGACCAGCTTATCTAAATTGTACATAATATTTGAACTAGCCTATGAGATTGATCTTAATTATTATGTTCACAAGTCTGGGATAATTAGATATTATTTTACATTTGTAACTAACCATGATAATCATTTCTTGTAATTTCTTGTACATGTTTATGACTTGTTCTTAATAGATTTTACTTTTGGAAACATGACTTTGTTGAAATGAGTTTGGTTTTGTTGTTTATTTACCTGTTTGATTTTGTAGTGTATTTTAGTTTTGCAGAACACTGTTGTAGTTTACTAGATTTTTCATACATCCCAGCATAGGCAATGAATGAAAACCTGTGACTATTTTTCCCCCTCATGGGAAGTCATACCTGGGAAGAAAATGTTAGCATTTTAGTATAGTAGTTACTGCGAACAGTTCATGACTTGATTTTGATTTGGAAATGTTTACTGACCAAGGATTAAGTTTAAGGACTATATAAATCATTAGCGCTGTGGTCTTTCCATATGGAGGTTGATAGAAAATATTTTTTTGAGTCGAATTTGCTTTTTCTGTTACACAATGAATGAGGTGGTTCAACAAACTGAGTATATGGGCTATAACGCAATTGGGTTTACAGTACAAATTTTATAATTAAATTTTCTTTTTTACATGTGTACCATTTGTTTTGTTAGGAATAAGAAGAAATGATTTTCACATAGGTTCCTTAGGGTACACTTGCACATCTTAAAGGCCACTTTTACGAAGCCCACATTTTATCATGCTAAATCTATGTTCTGTCAGACTCCTATAGGAAAACTTAAGTACATGCTTTGCACTCCTCTTTGCTACCTTTTCCCACTTTTTTTTTAATGCAAATCAATTCGATATAATACAGAAAGCAACATTAAGGTTCATGTTAGGACCCCTTATATGAACATTGGTCCACTGGTACCATCCTGTATCTACTTTGTCAGTTCACAGATTAACCTTTATCACTTGAAAAATAAAGTGCATTTTTGGAAGAATCAAAGTAAAATAGTCCCACTTTTAAATTAAGTGATCCATTTTTAAATTTGTAATTCAATAAAGTTTGTTATTAAAGATGTATCACATTTTTTCATTTTATTTAGACATTGATGCCTGTTCTAACTTTTGTTTCAAAACTTCTCTCCCAACTACTAAGGTATATTTTAAAGATTTTATTCATTTTATTTATTTATTTGTTTATTTATGTACTTATTTATTTTTATTCATTTATTTTAGATAGAGTGTGTGCACATGCCGTGTGCAAGTGAGGGGAGGGAGACAAGGAGAATTAGAATCCCAAGCAGGCTCTATGCTGAGTGCAAAGGCTGAAGCAGGGCTTGATCCCATGACCCTGAGCTCATGACTTGAGCTGAAGTCAAGAGTTGGATGCTTAACTGACCGAACCACCCAAGTGTCCCTAACTACTAAGGTATTTTTTAAAGGATAATTTTAATTAGGTGGTGCCTGCCTAGTTTTAATAAAGACTAGTATTGAGCAGTAATACAGAACATGTTTCTCTTCTCTTTTCCTGGACTCCTGGTGAGGGAGGCAGGAGTGGTTCTGAGTAGAGTAGTATGCATGCACATCCCGTGTGTGCACTTAACATAATATGAGAGATCACAAAGTCTTAATAGTGGAAAATACTAGCCAGTTGTAAAGGAGTGGGAAGTAAAACAAATATACATACATGATTATACATTAAATGAATATACAGAGGAATTAAGACATCTGTAGTGGGAATTAATGAAGCACCATCCTGGGAAAGCAGAAAATAACCACCTTGGTTTTCTAGCTCAGAAGTGATGAGCATTAGTTTATAAGTTTTGCTAAGCCATGACAAAAGTTCTGAAATATTTTTTTTAAAGATTTATTTAAGAGAGAGCGAGAGTGAGTGAGTTGGGGGAGGGGCAGAGGGAGAGAATACTCAAGCAGACTCCCTACTGAGTGCAGAGCCTGATGTGGGGCTTGATCCTACGACCCATGAGACCATGACCTGAACTGAAACCAAGAGTCGGACCCTTACTTAGCGAACCTGAAATATTTATATACACCCAAACATTGAAATTTATATATACCTTACAAATGGAGAATAAGTTTAAAGTATTAACAAGATACCAAAAGAAATAACAGGCTATATACTTTGAGTTTTTATAGGTACACAGTGATTATTCTTAGAGGTCAAACTGTAATTCAGGGCTTTGAATTGAATTTACTTCTCAAAATAAAAACTCAGGTTTAGAGTGTAGTAGTTTAAAGAGTTTTAATCAATACTCTTCTCTGTCCAGCACCTTCTCACACACATATTTAGCTGTATAAAATTAATCATTTAAGAAGAGTTGAATATCCCACTGGGAAATGTGATGTGAATAGTCACTGACATAAAATCCACCTATTTTTGTCAGTTTCAGAAATAAGAAAGTGTGAAGATGCTGTTTCACACTAAATAGAGTTACTGCTAAGTTCCTAGATCGTAATGGAAGGATTATATTGCAGAAAGCTTAAGTTAATTGAAGTCAGTTGAAAGTAATGAGACATGTATGGTAAGAATCTCATCACCTGGCTATACTAGATAACCAATAGCTGTAACTTAGTAAAGATGGAGTCAGTAAGTTTTTATGAGAAACAGCAGTATCTTTAACACCTGGAAGCATACTTCTAGTCACATAGTAGATGCTCATGAAGTTCTGATTCCTCTCCCTGAGTACTATAAAAAGACAGCTAATTATTATTTTTTTCCCCTTAATGGTCATGACTGCAAAGATAGCAACATCTCATGTGTGATCTGCCATATAGTCCAGTTAAAGTAGCCCAAATGTTTCCAAAGTTGGAGGACTAAGCTGCTTGGAAACAAGTTTTTTTTAGACCCTTAAATGTGGTTTATAGTATATATCCAAATTGTTTTTGTAATAATGCCATTTGAAAGAATAGTTGATATAAAATAAAAAAACAAAAACCGCAAGAGCACTGGAATGGAATGGCGTAGTTATACTTTTTGACTTTTTGGCAGTAGCCAAATATTTTGTCTGGTTCATTTAGGGGGTGCCTCACTTTCATTTGACCTTGGAGTTCTGTCATTCATAGTGTCCCACTCCACCAAGTGCCCCTTCTCTGGGATTACTCTCTGAAAGATGAGAGAAATACTGTCTTTACTGGAATAGATAAACCACCTGGAGCTGTGTCTGGGGCTTGCTGTACCATTTTGCCTACAAAATGCAGAGTCCCTCTGTGTGTGATGAAGCCAAGGGCAGGTGAGATGGAGAGAAGGTCTGGATAACACTGACTACCTGGATCTGATCTTGCTGAAGCTTAGAACAACCCTGTATTAACAACCCTTGATTTCCTGCTTATGAAAGCCAATCAATTTCCTTTGTGTTTAAGCTAGTTTGAGATAAATTTCTGTAGCAAGCAACTGAAAAACATTTTTTTTTAAATCGTGAATTGGATGAATATTTGAATTAGGTAAATGTAAAATGATTCTAAATAAAAGTGCTGATATCAGAATATCCAAGCCTTTGAGAGCCCTACTAAGATTTCTGGGTGATTGCAGAAGAAGCATAAGTGATCTGGAAGGGCAATTAAAGTCACAGGTTTTTTATCAGACTGATTTATCTCAGGATTGTTTCACTGATCTCTCCATTCTTTCCCCTCTTAATGATTGCAGTCCTAATCCCGTTTTTTTTTTAAATCTAAAGATTGTATGTATGTATGTATTTATTTAGTTAGTTATTTTTAAAGATTTTCTTTATTTATTCATGAGAGAGACACACACACAGAGAGAGGCACAGACACAGGCAGAGGGAGAAGCAGGCTCCACGCAGGGAGCCCGATGTGGGACTCGATCCCGGGTCCCCAGGATCACATCCTGGGCCTAAGGCAGGCACCAAACCGCTGAGCCACCCAGGCCGCCCCAAAGATTTTATTTATTTATTCATGAGAGACACAGAGAGAGAGCAGAGACATAGGCAGAGGGAGAAGCAGGCTCCCTGTGGGGAGCCCGCTGTGAGACTTGATGCGGGACTTGATCCCAGGACCCCGGGATCATGACCTGAGCCGAAGGCAGATGCTCAACCACTGAGCCACCCAGGTACCCCTAATACTGTTTTAAAACTCATCGAAACATGTCCATAAGACCAAATGCTCATTAATTCTCTCCCCATTAAAAGCTTTATGTATTTATTTATGTATTCTTTGGGAGGGGGCAGAGGGAGAGAGAGAATTACCTTAAGCAGGCTCCATGTCCAGTGTGGAGCCCGACACAGGGTTGACCTCACTACCCTGAGATCATGACCTGAGCCAAAATCAAGAGTCAGACACTTAACTGAGCCACCCAGGTGCCCGACTCCCCATTAAAAACTTCAAAATTTGAAATCAAATGGACATATAATGAATGTATTATTTTAGACGTGCAACATAATGATTCAGTATATGTATATTTTGCAAAATGCTTGTCACAATAGTTAACATCGCTCACCACACATAATTACAATATTTTTTCTTCTAGTGAGAACTTTTAGGATCTAGTCTTTTAGCAACTTTCAAAATACACAATACAGTTTGGTAACTAGTCACCATATTGTTAATTTTTAGAACTTTTATGCTTAAGTAGATAATTATTTTTTAATTCAGACTTCTCATTCTTAGGCTAATCAAATTTTAATTTCTAGTTTTCTTATAGCTAATATTTTTATTATTTATTTGCTTTTCCAGTATATTCCACTGGGACAGTTAATTCAAGTGGATAGTTTATAATGCCAAGGCCACAACTTCATTTTTTTTTTAAGATTTTATTTATTTATTCATGATAGAGGCAGAGACACAGGCAGACATAGGCAGAGGGAGAAACAGGCTCCATGCAGGGAGCCTGACGTGGGACTCGATCCCGGGTCTCCAGGATCACGCCCTGGGTTGAAGGCGGTGCTAAACCGCTGAGCCACCCAGGCTGCTCCAACTTCATCTTTCATGAGAAAGTTTAAGTTGGCATTACTTAGGAAAAGTCCTGTTTGGTGACTTTTGTACTTTAGATGACTCAAGTTTTTGCTTATGCATATGCCAGGAAAGAAAGCTTAGATGGTTTAATGCCAAACTCAGTAACTAATGGAGAAAAATAATCTAACTTAAGACAGTAGTAGTATTTTTATATATGAAGGCTGATTTTTTTTTAAATTTTTATTTATTAATGATAGTCACAGAGAGAGAGAGAGAGAGAGGCAGAGAAGGCTGATTTTTAAAATTTTTTATGAAGACTAATTTTTAATAGATGTTTGTCATGTAATGTTTAATAAGAAAAACTGGCTACCTGAAACTTCAGGAGTCATGAGGGCAGAGGGGATTGGTCAGGGTTACTTTTAACTACCACTTATGAAACTGGTTTTATTACCTTTGTCTTTTAGGTCAAAATCATGAGCTAGAGAAAATGATTTCCCTGGCTCTGTAATTTTCTTTATGTCTGTGTGTTTGTGTGTACATGCTCATACTGGGCTTTATGAATAAAAGTCCTCTTTCCTAAGAAATCGGCATTGCCTGGTGGTTAAGAAGAGCACAGGCTTTTGATCTGCTCAGATTCAAATTCAAACAAAATCCAAACTTACTAGCTGTGAGACTTTAACAAGGAGCTTTAACCTCCATAAAGGAGAACACCATCCTACCTTAGAAGTTTGAGTCAGAAAGGGCTAAACAGTAGTTTGTAAAGACCTTGAAACAGTACTCACCTCAATCAAAGGAGGAATTTTTTTAGAATGACTATTTAAAAAAAAACTTTTTTAAAAAAAATAATCCGTCTCTGTGCCCTTGGGATTCAAACTCATGTCCTCAAGACCAAGAGGAATGTTCTATGGACTGAACCAGCCAGGCACCCCTAAAATGGCTTTTATTAACATAAATGGGCACACATACAAATCCTACAACGTGCTTTTTTCCTTTAGCCGTTGACCTTAGAACACTCCCTGCCAGAGTATGTATGGTATTCATTTTTACCATAGAGAGTCCATGAACACATACAGCCTTTCCTTTCAAGACTATTCCCTGTGGGTAGTTTTTGTTTTGAGGTTTTGTTGTAGGATAGATTCTTAACAGTTGAACTGACCAGCTGCTGGATATGTACATTCAGGATGATAGATGTTGCCAGGTTGCTCATCAGAAAGGCAAACTAGTTTATCTACCCGTCAACAGTAAGGCCCTTTTCCTGACACCTTTGCTACTACTGGATATGCTCAAACCTTTTGGTTTGGGCAAATCTAGGGGGGAAAAGAGCAACCACTATTCTCTCGTTTAATTTGAGTTCATATGATTATCTTCTTGTATTTATTATGCTCATCTTTTCTTGTTTATAACCAATTGATTTCTTATGTTCCTTCTGTTTTTTTTATATGTTTTTTTTTTAATTTTTATTTATTTATGATAGTCACAGAGAGAGAGAGAGAGAGAGAGAGGCAGAGACACAGGCAGAGGGAGAAGCAGGCTCCATGCACCGGGAGCCCGATGTGGGATTCGATCCCGGGTCTCCAGGATCGCGCCCTGAGCCAAAGGCAGGCGCCAAACCGCTGCGCCACCCAGGGATCCCTGTTCCTTCTGTTTTTATTGTGTCTTTCCTTTTTGGTCTGGAGAGTTGTCTTAGTAGGTTATAATGCATTCTGCATAGATTTTTTTAGTTTTGTTTTGTAGCATGATAGTTGTATTTTGATTCTTTTTATGTTGTCTTTGTGGCACAGAATTTAAATAATATTTTTCATATCATCCAGTCTATTAGTATTTTATGTTGTCTGGCTTGGATTTATGTTTTCCTTAGGAAGACCTTGTCCATCCGAAGCTACAAGAATATTGCCTACATTTTCTTCCAATATTCTTATAATGTTCTCTTTTTAAAAAGTTTTGAGTTCTTTAAAAGGTTTGGAATTTATATTTGTTTATATATTCTTTTTTTTCCCAAATGGAGTGCCATTCATCCCAACAAAATAAACTCTTCAAAGTTTACATAAAAATTTTTGGGACACCTGGGTCGCTCAGTGGTTTAACACCTGCCTTTGGTCCAGGGCGTGATCCTGGAGTCCCTGGATCAAGTCCCACATTGGGCTCCCTCCCTGCATGGAGCCTGCTTCTCCCTCTGCCTGTGTCTCTGCCTCTCTCTCACTGTGTGTGTCTCTTATGGATAAATAAAATATTAAAAAAAAAATCTTAAAAACCTGGGACTTCTGGGTGGCTCACTGTTTGAGCATCTGCCTTTGGCTCAGGTAGGATCCCAGGGTCCTGGGATCGAGTCTCAGCATCAGGCTCACCACAGGGAGCCTGCTTCTCCCTCTGCCTGTGTCTCTCTGCCTCTGTGTCTCTCATGAATGAATGCATGAGTGAATGAATGAATAAAGAATTTTTAAAATCCTTAGAATTGCATTGATTTGGGGCAGCTTCAGGATTCTTTCATACACATAGATGTCACCAGCGATTTACCCATCGAATTGGTTTGTAGTAGTAGTGCACTCTGTAGCCACATGGGCTGTGATGATTTCTTTCTGAGATGTGACACATCGTGAAATAAATTTGGAATGGAATTTTTGTTTTATAACTGGAAAGTTCAGCTTTCATGCTATAACTCTCCAGTTCAGTTCTACAAACATTTACGGAATACTGTTCTTAAATATATATATGAGGGACAAAGTGTATTTCCAATGCCTGTGGAGCTTATAGTCTAATGGGAAAGATAGGTCAACATAGTTTGTAAACTCAGATGATAAATAATTGTACAGGAAAATATTGGGATACTAAGAATGGCACCCAGCGCAGTGGAAATAGAAATCAAGAGGTCAGGTAAGGTTTTTTGGAGGCTGTAGTGTGTTAGGTAAATCTTAAAGGAATGAAAGGAGTTAGCTGAGTGAAGGGTGGCATTGTAGAGAGGGGTAGGGGTAGCAGGAAGTATGAACAGTATGAGCAGTGATGAGGTATGAAAATATACTTGTCTATAAGTATATATTCTAGAGTCTAAACCGTGTGTGGGGTTGGCTAGGGAGCCAGTAGCCCAACTATAGAGGCCCTTGCTTATACACCTGTTGTGCCCAAGATTGCTAATCCGAGAAACTGCCAGGGAGCTGACACCGATGCAATCACACGAGGGTTTATTTACAAGCTCGAGCCTGGGGCCAAGTGTACCCGACACAGCGGAGCAGGGACTTGGACCCCGAAACTAAGAGGCTTAGCAACTTTATAGGGGCCAGTGGCCAATGGGATATGCAGAAAGTTGCACAGTCATGCTGGTCAGCTGAGCCGGATTTCCGATTAGGGTGTGTCCTGGTCTTTGATTAGGGCGGGGCAGTGCCCTAAGTAATAAGCAGGTCAGCACAAGGCGGGTGCAGCCCAAAATAGAGTCAGTCCTCCTCTGCTTGTCCAGGGGTAGGGGATTTTGTTCAATTTCCTGGGTCCCCACACCGTACTGAGAGTTTGGTACTTGTACTCTGGGCAGTTGGGAATTAGGAAGATTCTAAGGAGCAGAGGGATGGTGATGAGATTTGTGTGTAAGAAAAGTCACCTCGTGGCATTTTGAAAGCCTGAGAGAGACTAGGTAGGAGGCTCTTGGTGATGATACTGGTAGGTGTGCGATAATGGGGATCAGAAGAAGGAAGGAGACACATGAGAAATATTTAGGAGTTAAGATCAGCAGGGCTTGGCGACTGCTTGCAAGGAGAAAGAAGGGGAAAGTTAGCAGGTAAATAAGAACTTAGGTGACTGGCCAGGTGACTGGGGACCTAGGCAGTGCTGGGGCTTGGAGGGAGGAGGGCAGTGGGATGAGAAGTCAGAATTTAGATGAATTTCAATATCATCTCTGTGGTGGGATATGCAAGGGGAGATGTCTGGCTGGCAGCTGATTGGGAAGTGCTGGGGGTAGCCTACACCAGGTCCTGGTCTGGTAGTCCTACGTGTGTTGGCAGTAATTTAAGGGGTTATAAGAATGCAGGGAAGCGGACAGATGAGTAAGGAAAGTACGCCAGAGCCTAAACCCGGAGGCCGTATCTAGTGGACAAAGAATAATAGCAATAACTGACATACAGTGATTGCTTAGTATATTTTACATGGGTTAGTTTCTTTTTTAAAAAGTATCATTTTTTACAGATTTCATTTGAGAGAGAGGGATAGAGGGCATAAGGGGTAGACCGGGCAGAGGGAGAGGGAGAAGCAGCCCCCCCACTGAGACGGCAGCCCCTAGATCAAGACCTGAGCCAAAGGCAGACCCTTCACCGGCCCAGGCGCGCCTAAAGATTTATTTCTAAGCGATCCCTGCACCCAGTAGGCCCCTGGAGCGCACACCCCGGCGACCGAGAATCTCCTGCCCTGCCGAGTGGCTGGCCCCGCGTGGGTGAGTTTCAGTCTGCACAGCAAGCCCAGCCCTTTGCTGACCGCCTCTCCCTTTGAGTCTACTCAATAAATCTCACTTGGGGGAAAAAAATCCGCGCAGCAACTGGGGTGAGGTCCCAGTATCCCCGCTCTTGCAGATGAAGAGGCAGGCCCGGGCAAGACCCGGGTACCCAGCGCGCGGTCGAGCTTCGGAGCCTGGACCCTCCCGTACCCGCTGACTGGGGACAGGGAGGAGGGTCTGCGGGGAGCTGCGCCTGCGGGGACCTGCGCAGAGGCTCCCGAGTGCGGCAGGAGAGGAGCAAAGGCACCAGCAAGCGCCGACCCGCTGAGAGGCGAAGGGCAACCGGCGGTTCTGGGGTGCAGGCTCGCGTTCACTGGGGGCCCGCGGGGAACGGGGAGCCGAGTTCCAGGTAAGAGCCTTCATGGACCATTAGGTGCCCGGTGCCCGGACCGTTCCTGTGCTGCCTTATCCCCACTTTCTTACCGGAACCGAGAAGGCAAATCCTCCCCAGTTTTCTTCGGGACTCTTTGTTGCAAGGATTTACCTCAGCTCTTCTCACTCTGTAACCCTTCTGGCAATCTTATCTGTGTTGAAAATCCCAAATACTCCAGCCTAAAATCTTGACACCCCGGGTCCCTCTGATGTCTTGACCGCCTTCATCTTACAGTCACTTGCACTGCCTGTCCCCAGCTAGACTCATTTGGGGGATGCTTCAGTTACAAATACCTTCCCTACACCTCGGACCCAACACACACACACCCTCCGCCAGTAGCCCCTCAAGACTTGCTTGCTGCAGTATAATGTAGCGGCCACACACGCCTATTGTCCTTACCTAAATGTAAACTAGAGGGCAGAATTTATGTCTCAATCACAATCATGTCCTGTCTAGTGAAAAAAGTGAGACTGTTGACTATGGCATCGAAAGCACATAAGGGGTTGATGGCTTGAAAAGGAGGAACGATCACATTAGTCCCTGGGACTGGACTGACAGAGGTGGGAACAAATGCCCATCCAGACACATTTGGAGCTTACACGGGAAGATGAAGCGGGTAGGGACCCTAGTAGGAGGTGGGAAGATGTTTGCCTGAGGATGAGAGCAAGGGGCTTAGTCTGGGGCTTGAATTGAGTAATGAAGAAATCACCAGGCCAGGTGAGAATGGCCCAGAGGAAAGCTCGCCCCTGTAGGGGAAGCCTGCCACAGGCCCCTTGCACATAATTTCTAACCCACAACTCCAACCATTCCAGATTTTGGATGTTTTTCCCTTTCACTGCAGTGATGGGTTTCTTCAGGATGGCTGATGGGTACTAACCACTAGTTATACCTGTAAGCTGTTAAAGTTACTCCATTTGTCTACTGTAAAAATAGTGGGATCTAAAAACAGGGTCTGGGGAGCTAGATGCTACCTTGTATGTTTCCCTACTTACTCCATCTTATATTCCCAAATATTTAACGTGTGAAAAAAAATGGAGATAAAACTCTTGTGCTTTATTATGTCAGAGTGAAAATGCCATATTTCCTTGAATAATCAAAATGAAAATATGCTTATTTGAAGGTTCTGTTATGAACATTCATTCTTTAGGTTGGCAGATTCTGATAATAAAATAAAGGTAACTTTTCAACGAAAGAATTTTCTAAACACTACTTCTCTTGCCAAACAGGTGAAACCGATCCACTTAAGAGCACAGTACATGAACCATTATAGATACACATGCACATATATGTATCTACATACACAGAGTCTAAGATAAAGTGGAATACCATTTTTATAAGTAGTGGGGACACGTCTTTATAAAATGGGAATTTGGGTCCTACGATGGCACCAATAAGCAAATATTCAAAATAGCTGGATGGAAGGAAGGAGTGGCTAAGAAACACCTGAATGCCTTTTCTTTGGGAGGAGAATCATCGGATACTACATTCATGGGAAACAAAAGCAGTCCTGTTGGCTCCAGTGGACGCAGATGCCCCAGGCAGTAGAGAGTCTTCTAGGGTATCCTTCGCCATTGACAACACGCTGCTGTTACTGTAAATGTAAATATATTATTTTTCTAAGACAGCCATACTCCATTTTCCCCCCCAAAAGTATCACGAAAAGTGGCTGCAGTTTACGTTGTGAATATGTAGCTTTCTCTAAAAGGAAGCATCTGTTGTTAAAAAATAGCCCAAGTAATAGCCCAAGTATTTCTCTAGCAGAACATACTCCTACCTCTAAGTTCCCTGTACTACACATAGTCCATCAGTTCTTTTATTGTTTTATTAATAATAAATATATTTGATAACATCTAGGCTTCAGCTGATTTCTCAGATAAGGACTGAAGCAAATCTTTATAGAGGGCAGAGTTCATGAATCGGGGATATGAGTCTCTGTGCATTAAAGTGTAGATCTGAAGTTGGGCGTCATCAAATATGTGTTGGGATGGCTCTACCATGTTCCTGTTGATGACTTCTCTTACTCGGGAATCCAAGCTGACCTGTCAGTAGAAACAAAGAAGAGTGGGATTAGATATTTTTCCCTTTGGAAATCCATCCCTAACCCCCCCTGGCTTGTTCTGTTTCTTAAAAATCCCAAACCAGGGGATCCCTGGGTGGCGCAGCGGTTTGGCGCCTGCCTTTGGCCCAGGGTGTGATCCTGGAGACCCGGGATCGAATCCCACGTCGGGCTCCCGGTGCATGGAGCCTGCTTTTCCCTCTGCCTGTGTCTCTGCCTCTCTCTCTGTCTCTGTGACTATCATAAATGAATAATAATAATAAAAAAAAAGGACACATATGAAGAAGAGGAAATTAAAAAAAAAAATCCCAAACGAAACAAAGTCATCCAGAAATCTAAATCGCTGAAAGAGAAGTCGAACACACAATGAACAGGGGTTTTCAAGCTTCAGCAGCATCAGAAGGAATGCCTGTTTAACAGATTGCTGGCCCCCACCTGCAGAATTTCTGACTCGGTAGGTCTGGGTTGGGGGTGCCTGAAATGTGTATTTCTCATGAATTTTAGGTGATGCTGGCGGGGATCACGTTGCTTTAGAAAACCACAACATTGTTTTCCTTCTTCCAAGTGACTGTACTGTGTCCTTTGAAAATAAAAGGGTAGCGTGCACAGACTCACCCCTTGCTAATTTCCTAACATCAGGGCTTAACACATGGAGGCCCCCGGCTGTAGCCAGCTAGAGCACAGTCGCAGATTTCTGGGAACGAGTGTCAGGCTGGCTGGTGAATCGAAGCTAACTCGAGCACCATGGAATGGTTAACAGCACAGGGCCTGTGTTTCAATCCCAGCTACATCACTACTTAGTTGTGGGGCCTTAGGCAAAGTAAATTTAGCCCCAACGAACTCCTTCCTAAAGGGGATAATGATGATGATAGTGGTGGGGATTTAATGAGAAATTATTTCAAGTATACAATGGAATATTCCTCAGCCATTAGAAACGACAAATACCCACCATTTGCTTCGACGTGGATGGAACTGGAGGGTGTTATGCTGAGTGAAGTAAGTCAGTCGGAGAAGGACAAACATTATATGGTCTCATTCATTTGGGGAATATAAAAAATAGTGAAAGGGAATAAAGAGGAAAGGAGAGAAAATGAGTGGGAAATATCAGGGAGGGAGACAGAACAGAAAGACTCCTAACTCTGGGAAACGAAATAGGGGTGGTGGAAAGGGAGGAGGGCGGGGGGAGGGGGTGAGTGGGTGACGCACTGGGGGGGGCACTTGACAGGATGAGCACTGGGTGTTATTCTGTATGTTGGTAAATTGAACACCAATAAAAAATTATTATTAAAAAAAAAGAATTCATTAAGTCCTTAGGAGATGTTGGCTCTTCTTTCTCTGATGTTTTGCTCATCCTAGAAAAGCCTGTCTCACAGACCAGAGGAAGCTATTGGGCTTCGACTTTCTCCATAGGACACCAAACAAGAGTACAGGCTGTAGAGACGAACTCGCACCTTCGCGGGACCATCTCTGCACCAGGAGGCCAGGATAGTTCTAATGCTATACGATGCACATGCTGCTCTTTAGTAGGAAACTGAAAATATGACTAGCTAAACCATTAAATTTTGACTTCAGTGATCTGTCTTTCCAGATGCATATATCTACTCTCCTCCCAGAAAGCCCCTGGTACCCACCCACAGGTAACTCAATGTGGTTGACCTTGAACAACATAACATGGGTTTGAATTGCGTGGGTCCCCTCACAGTGGATTTTTTGGGGACAAATACAGTAGAGTACTGTAAGTGCATTTTCCTCTTAGCATTTCTGAGTAACGTTTTCTTTTCTGTATCTTTACTGTAAGCACGTGCTAATCGACTGTTTATGCTGTCGGGAAGGCTTCTGGTCAACAGTAGGCTATTAGTAGTTATGTTTTCGGGGAGTCAAAATTATACGTAGATTATTGACTGTGTGGGGTCAGCGCCCCTAACCCTGTGTTGTTCAAGGGCCAACTTCACGTGGATTCAGTGGATTGCCAGCATCTCCGAATCTCTTTTTTGTATAGCTTGGGAAGGAAGAAAACTTTTTCCATCCAATTCCAAGTCCCTCTCATCCCTCATTTTCCCTCTGGCTCTGTATTCAAAGCCTCCAGGAACCTGCCTCTTTAACACCTCTCAAATCTGTCTACCTCATGCCTCTTACCTGCCAACACCCTTGGGGAAATCCATTTCCTGCTGGATTTGTTCACTGGCTTCCTAACTGGTCTCCCGTCTCCTGAGTGCCTCTCCAAACCACACCACTGTTTGGCCAGAGGGCCCTTCCTTCCTTGGGCTCTTTCTTCCTTCCTCCCTCCCTCCCTTCTTCCTTTTATTCTTATTTTTTTTATTTTTAAGATTTTATTTATTTGAGCACAAGCAAGGAGAGTGGCAGGCAGAGGGAGAAGGAGACTCCCCGCTGAGCAGGGAGCTGAATGAACTATCAGGGCTTGATCCCAGGACCTTGGGATCATGACTTGAGCTACAGACAGACACTTAACTGATAGATCCACCTAGGTGCCCCTAGAGGACTCTTTCTATGGTACAAACTCCATTCTGACACTGCAGCTTCAGAGCTGGCACTGACTTGTCCAAGTGCTCAGAATAAGCCCAAAGTTTAAACTTAGGAGGCCTTTATGCTCTGCTTCTACCAATTTCCCCTGGTCTACCTTACTATTCCACTCAAGAATGTAAAGATTTGGAATTCCACTTGAAACTTAAAGAAAGAAGGTGCTAGGGTGGCACAGTCACTTGAGCATCCAGTTCTTGGTCAGCTGGCGTTGTGATCTCAGGATCATGAGATGGAACCCCACCTCAGGCTGTGCGCTCAGCAGGGAGTCTGCTCTAGACTTTCTCTCCCTCTCCCTCCGGCCCTGCCCCTGCTCCCCACTCACTCATGCTATCCCTCGAATAAATCAGTAAATCTTAAAAAAGGCAAGCAAGCAAGCAAGCTAGGACTAGCTTGTCTTTGTTCCCTCCATCTAGAATAACCTTTCCCTGACTTCTCCTTCAGGTCCTGGGTTAGCTGTCACTCCCCCATCATCCGGAGAAGCCTCCCACAACTACCCAGAGGGAGGTGGAGTTCCCTCCTTTGCTGCCCCCCTGCCCCCCCCCCCCACAGCTTATTCCTGGGGCAGCACTCAGCCAAGCAATCCCTTCGTGGAAGCTTCTTGAGGATTAAGTGCCCCGTGCTGAGGTGCTGAGGGACATTGCTCCTGCCAAAGGAGAGACTTGCTACTTATCATTGGCTAGAAGGATGAGATCTTCTGCTCTTGTTAGGGAATTTGATGGAGATACTCTAGAAATCATTAACATTTTAGTTTACAAACAGCTAAGGCACAAATGGAATTTTTTTCATTCTCTCCAGCCTCCACATGAGCATCCCTGTCCGTCTGCTCAGGATGAGAGAATGAACACAGAGAAGAGGCCATGTCGAGTGTCACCACTGTGCCAGGTGCTATGGTGAGTAGGGCTTTGCACCTGTCCTCCCTTTAATCCTCCCAGACAGGAAAATGGCCATGTCCCATTGTACATATGAGGCAGTGGAGCCCCCAGAGAGGTTCAGATATACTGAAGGTAATTTAGCTGTTAAATGAGAGAAGTAGGGTTCAAACCCAAGTGAATCTGACCCCCAAATCTAAGCTCTTAAAAATGTCAAGCTTTTACACTTTAAGTAATACATGCTTACATTTGGGCAGCAAGAGTCATCTTTTTATATCCTTTTGGCTTCACACATTTGCTAAGAAATTTTTGGGTATATGATGCTTATCTCAAAAATCTTGTCTCAAAAAATAAGAAGGAAAATCACGACAAAATAAGAACATGTAGAAGCCTTAAAGGACAAAAATTCTCTTGCTTTTATGAATCCAAAATGGAAATGATATTCTGAACTCTATATTCATACATCTGTCACTGAGTATCTCCAACTTAAAAACACAAACTTAAGTAAGCAAAGTTGAGCCCTGTGGTCTTTCTCCCAGGCTCGATCCCCATCCTGTCTGCCCAAATTCCACGTATCACACCACTGTCTGATGTGCCCTGACATATGGGAGTCATTCCAGACGCTGGGATCCCCCTCAAATCAAAGCCCACTGCTCAGGTTTCTCCCCAGCTGGCTCGTCAGGCCTCATGATGTCCTCTTTCCACTACAGAATGAACCTGCTAACTGTTCTCTGCCTCTTGTGTCTTCCTCCTAATCCATTCTGCAGCCACACTGGTCTTTTGGAAATCTAAATTTGATGATGCTTCCAGGCTAAAATCCGAGGGCTTCCCAAGATAACAATTAGAACAGGCCAGCATGGCCCCCAACCCCTTGATGCTCTTGGGCCATCCCCTTTTCTGAACTGTCCTCCAGCTGCCTGCCAGCAGCCTCAATAGCTTGGTAAACGTGCTACATTCCAGCATTCCAAACTGTGGACATTTTCACAGATCATGGGACTGCATGCTTTTACCCTTGGCGCATCTAGTCCTTTCCTCTGGGATGTTTTCATCCCACTGGGTTGCTAGTGATTTCCTTTTCATATCCTTGGTTCGTCCACGGCCTCTTCTAGTACGTCTTCCTTCTTCCTGCCCCACCCTCTATTGATGGCTCACTCTGCCAGCTCCTTGGTCACACCACGGGCTCCACACCTGTCTGCCCCATTGACTATGAGCTCCCTGACAGGAGAGGCCCTGTTTGATTGACTATATTCTCAGAGGCATATAGGAGGACATAATGGCTGATTTTACAATTAGAGCTATAAAGTACTCGGTGTTGAGATAACCCTGACCCTGTAGATTTACATTTGAAGGAACAGCAACTGGGCGATGGCAGCTTACTGATGTCCCTCATCTGACAGTTTCTCTGCTCTAAGAGAAGGATACCCTAGGGAAAACCTCCATATCATATTAGCCATGCTATTTTTTTTTTCAGATTTTATTTATTTGAGAGAGAGAGAGAGCATGAGCAGGGGGAAGCACTGGCGGGGAAGCAGACTCCCCGCTGAACAGGGAGCCTGTTGGGGCTCAATCCCAGGACCCTGAGATCATGACCTGAGTTGCAGGCAGATGCTTAATGGACTGAGCCACCCGGATGCACCAGCAATGCTATTTCTATCGAAATAAAAATACCTGTAAAAAATATTGGTGCTCAGAACAAAAAGATAATTTTATTTAAATAAATTCTTATAGGGTATAATGTTTTTAAACAGTATTTACAATAAAATGCACAGACTACCCCTTCTGGAGAATCTGGTGAAAGTCATAAATAGTTTCTCCAGAAAGATGCACAAAAGTTATCACAGAGTTCACGGGGCACTGAGAGCCTGCCTGTGAGACCACGTCAAAGGCATCCAAATACTATGAGTGTGGGTGGAGTCGTCTCTACCTTATAGTAGCTGTCACTGTGCCATGTGACCCAATGCTGATGGGGTTCATTTTACCCACGGCCATGGCAGGTACGTACCTCTTTAGGAGAAAGAATAGAAATATAGTCTTCATAGATGGTCCTTGCTTTTTCCTCAATGATGGTTTTATTAGCTTCTTTTTTCAATTCCTCACACGCCATCCAGAAAAGCATATTTTCTTCACTAAATTCTGTTCGGAGGAATTCCCGGAAAGCATTCCTTCCCGCTGGAGTGAGCATTACCTTGTCAAATGACTGAGACCAGGCGTTGACTTCCTCCAGAGTGGGACTTGGGCTTAATGGGGATGGAAAGAAAGGGGCAAGAGGAAGCTATGTTATTGGTAGTTGCTTTACTTTGAATTTCCTCACTATAAACATCCCCTTTTCCCCTCTGAGAATGAAAATGTGCACCTAGGCCCTTTTAGGAAAGGAAAGAGCTGTGCTCATTTCCTTGCGCCTTTGGCAAAAAACACACGAGTATGATACTTTTAAATCGTTTAGCTGGAGTGTGTGGTACTGCCCAAATGCTTGCAGACCAGTCACTAGAATAACTGCTAAGAACACTCTTGTTTAGATCTTAGGAGTCCTAGTGAAGTTTTAAAATTATAACAGTGAAGTAAAATCCTAGGAGCATCTCACCAAAACTTCCCTGTCACCCGCGACAGACCTCAGCACACTACCTTCCAGCACAGCAGTGGGGCTATATATCTCTTTAGTGGTTTTTAACATGTGAAAGAGAATTTTAAGGAGAAAGGGAAAAGAACATGTAATATAACTGCAAGTTATAAAGGACGATAACAAACACACACTATAAACTCAGCATTCACCTTGAGAACCAGGCTGCCACCACCAGCCGCACCTACCTTGGCATCATATGGCCACAACCTGTTCTTCTGCCTTCCCCACCCTGAGGGAACTGCTGTGCTTGATTTTGGACTCGCCCTGGTTTAGTTTATTTTTACTTATATTTTAATTATATTGAGGCCAGAAAACATAGTCTGTTTAGCAGTGATACTTATTAAATAATTTCTTTCCTGGGAATGGAAGCTGGTGCAACCACTCTGGAAAACAATATGGAGGTTCCTCAGAAAGCTGAAAATAGAGTCACTCTATGACCCAGGAATTTCACTATTGGGTATTTATCCCAAAGATACAAAGGTAGTGATCTGAAGGGGCACATGCACCCCAATGTTTATAGCAGCAATGTCCACAATAGCCAAAGTATGGAAAGAACCCAGATGTCCGTTGACCGATGAATGGATAAAGAAGATGTGGTATATGTATACAATGGACTACTACTCAGCCATCAAAAAAAAAAAAAAAAGAAATATTGCCATTTGCAATGACGTGGATGGAACTAGAGGGTATTATGCTAAGTGAAATAAATCAATCAGAGAAAGAGAATTATATGATCTCATTCTTATGTCAAATTTAAGAAAACAGAAGATCATAGGGGAAAAGGGAAAAATAAACAAGAGGAAATAAGAGGGACACAGAACCATAATAGACTCTTAATCATAGGAAACAAATTGAGGGTCATTGGACCGGAGGGGGGGTGGAGGGACAGGGTAACTGGGTGATGGGCATTAAGGAGGGCATGTGATATACTGAGCACTGGGTGTTATATAAGACTAATGAATGACTGACCTTTACCTCTGAAACCAAGAATACGTTATATGTTAATTAGCTGAATTTAAATAATTTCTTTCCTCCTAGCTTTCTTTTCATAGTTTTAATGTAAATACGTATCTCTGAAGACTATATTCTTCAGTGGTTTTTTTTTCCCCTTCACTTTATAAAAATGGCTGACCACCATGTTGTCTTTGGCCAATTGCTTTTGTCACCCAACACTGTCTAAGATTCATGAATCCACATTGCTGAAGGTGGCCAGAGTTCCTGAGTAGGATTTATCTTTCACTTTCTATTCTTGAACTGTCCTCTTCTGGTCTGGTGTTCCTGTTGAATTGATTTCTTACACATTTGGGTAGTTATACAAGACCCGTAAAACCTTGGAATGATTTACTGCAGAACTGTTTTGTGGAACTAACCTGTAAAACCAATTGGACTCAGTGTTTATTTTGTAGGAGGGTGTTATGAGTTGAATTAGGTCTCCTAAAAGAAGATATGTTGACATCTTAACTCTAGTACTTCAGGAAGTGACTATATTTGGAAATAGAGTCTTTGTAGATTTAGCTAAGATGAAGTGATTAACGGGAGCCCTAAACCAGTAGGACGGGCATTCTTTTTTTTTTTTTTTAAGATTTTATTTATTTATTCACGACAGACACAGAGAGAAAGAGAGAGGCAGAGAGAGAAGCAGGCTCCTGCATGGAGCCTGACGTGGGACTGGATCCTGGGTCTCCAGGATTACACCCCGGGCGGAAGGTGGCGCTAAACCGCTGGGCCACCCGGGCTGCCCAAGGACTGCCGTTCTTATACGAAGGGGAATCAGGACGTTGAGACAGTCACACACAGGGGAAAGATGGCCATGTAATTGGTATGATGCATCTACAAGCCAAGGGATGCCAAGGATTGCTGGCAACCACCAGAGAAGCTAGAAGAGACAAGGAAGGGGTCTCCCCTAGAGCCATCAGAGGGCATGGCCCTGCTGACACTCTGATTTTGGACCTCTGGCCTCAGAAAAATAACATTAAAGCATAAAGAAAAAAGGAATCTCATGTGCCATTTGCCCAGTTTCCCCAAGGTGACATCTTGCAGAACTATAGTACAACTTCACAGTCCTCCTGGACACTTCTGATGGTTGAATTGTACTCATTTATTTTTGTGATCCCATCTTTAATTGGTTTAAACATTTCAGAGACCATTATATTTTATTACAGATAACTCTAATATCTGAAGTCCTTTGGGCTCTAAATCCAAGTGTTGATTCTACTGTCACTTGTGTGTTGTGTCCTTTTAGTTTTCGTTTAGGTTCTGGTTGGTCTTAATCTTTAGAAAACTAAGAGTCAAAATTGGGAATATTTTCTTTCCTCCAGAGAGGTTGTGTGTTGGCTTCTTCTGAGATCTAGGAGGTGTTACTGACCCAGGACCACTTAGGCTTCTTTCATAAATCAGGGCATAATCTGGGATCTCAGTTTCAACATCTTGTCCTCACCCTACCTTGTACTTGTTCTTTGAGAAAATCCTTTCAACTCTGCTTAGCCATCAATACTCAGGATTTTGCTTATTTTTTATTTGGTTTGGTTTTTCAGTTGCTTTGTCATTTTCCTTACTCTCTAGGAGCCCAGCAATGCAAAAACTTCAAAATAATGCAAAATCTATTGTTCTGCATTGGGAAGGCCCTCTGATTATCTACTCTGCCACAGTGCCAAAAGTTCTGTATTTAGTTTTGAGGAGTACAGGATGTATACCCCAAAATTTGATATGTAGCTACTTGTCCTAGTTATATGAAGGTCATAGAAAAAAACACACTCACATATACAGAGGTTCACAGTGTTAATTCAATTTCCTTTTCTTGAAATGTATCTTGAAGATGGATTATAATGACCCAGCAGTGAAGCATAAATGAAAGGCTCAAGACCAGAAAAAGTAGGTTATAGAGAGGAGTCAGCAGACCAAAAAAGAAAAAAAAGATATTCAAACGATTGTTTCAAGTTAGTTTCAAAATTAGATTCACTGTATACATGGATCATCCCATTTCAGTACAACTGTGTGTAAATAAATAGAAAATTCTTTTGAAGATATATATTTCTATTTATATAAAACATTGATGGTAGTTCTATCTGGAGACTGGGATGAGGTCTAGAACAAAAGGAAGACTGAATTTTTACTGAAAACCTTTTGTAGTGTTTGGGTTTTGTAGTGTTTTTATAGTGGGTAGACTTTTCATCATGCAAAAAACTATTGTGTATGAAAACAAAGTATCTTTCATAACTAGGAAAAATAGTTTTGAAAGAAAATGTTTAAAAGATGTTGAAAAGATAATTTAAAAATAAAAATAATAACTTCAAGTAACCTGCATAAAAATCTTGGATTTTTTTCAGAAAGGTGTGGCTGAGTATGCTAAGTCATGTTCCTTAAGGGACACCTGGTGGGTGGCTCAGTGGTTGAGCCTCTGCCTTGAGCTCAGGACATGATCCTGGGGTCACTGGATCAAGTCCACATCGGGCTCCCAGCAAGGAGCCTGCTTCTCCCTCTGCCTTTCTCTCTCTCTGTGAGTCTCTCATGGATAAATAAATAAAATCTTAACAAAATTATGTTCCTTAAATATGAAGATTCAGAAGATACTTTTTTTACTCCTGTCAGTTTAAGAGATATAAAAGGATGATTCTGAAAAACTTAAAAGCAATTGGTAGTACATTTTTTTTTTTTTTAATAAGAAAGAGCAGAGGTGCCTGGCTGGCTCAGTCAGTAGACTTCCAAACAAAAATTAAGGAAGTAATTAGTCGGTATTACATGAGATAATATGCTAGAAGATTAGACTTACCAGTCATCATCAAAATAACTGACACAATGTCATTGGATTCTAATTCCTCATTTAATGAGACTGCTCTGGGGCCAGAATCCAACATAATGGTATTTTTAGGAAACATATACAATATTACAAAAATTAAGAACAAATAGGCAAAGATATATGAGGCAAATGCAAATAAGAATAATATTAATACCTAAGTAGAATTAAAAACAAAAGACATGAAGTTGGATAAAGAGTCATTTCATATTCTTGAATTTGAGACCAAATAATGGCCAACATATGTCGAATGCTTGCCAGGCTCATGACAGTAGCCACAATAAACTGTTATTGTTCCCATTTTCACACCCAAGGAAACCGAGGCAGAGTGTGGCTTCTCAGCAAAGTGCCCAAGGTCACACTGGCAGGATGGCTAGAGTCAGGCCTAGATGAAGCATTCTCGTTCCAGATAGAAGAGCCTCAAAGCTTTGGTACAGAATACAACATACCAGTATATGTAAGATAAAAGCCATTTTTAAAAAAGCTTATTTTTTTAGTAAGCTCTACACCCAACATGGGGCTCATATTCATAACCCCGAGATCATGAGTCGCATGCTCTTCCAACTGAGCCAGCCAGCGCCTTAAGATAAAAGCTATTTTTTAAAAGATTTTTATTTTTAAATTTTATTTATTTGAGAGAGAGAGTGAGGGAGAGCAAGAGTACGGGGGAGAAGCAGAGGGAGAGGGAGAAGCAGACTCCCTGCTGAGCAGGGAGCCCAATGGGGACTTGATCCCAGGACCTTGAGTTTATGACTTGAACTGAAGATAGATGCTTAACCAACTGAGCCACCCAGGTGCCCTGATAAAAGCCATTTTTAAACAAACTCATAAATTGTGGAATATTTTTTAAAAGTTTTTATTTTTTTAGTTATCTCTACACCCAACATGAGGCTTGAACTCATAACCTCAAGATCAAGAGTCTCATATTCCTCAAACTGAGCATGCCAGGCGTACCAAATTGTGGAAGATTTTAATATGCTTCCCAGACTTTGAAAAATCTGGGTAAGGGTAAGTAAGTTAAAAGAATGAAAAAAAAAAAAAACCACTTAAGTAACCATTTAGGCTACTTGTTTTTTTCCCCCTCAAAAATAAGCAATTTAATACAAGACCTATTTGAACAATGCTTTTAGGAGACTTGTCCAGTATCTGTAATTATATAGGTATAATACCAAGAAAAGACATTAGAATAGGCAAGTGAAAGTAAGTCAACTGATAATACAGGAACAAAACGAGATAATTTTAAAATCTGATATTATGGAAAGTAGTGTGTTTTCTTCCTAACAATTTTTCAAAATATTTAAATTAAGACAATACTACATTTGAGCATAAATTTATAGTTAAGAAGAAAAATGGACTTTCCTGAAAACCAAATATGTGTGTTTCACTACTATGTTTTATTCTATTTTATTTATTTTTTAAAGGTTTTATTTATTTATTCATGAGAGACAGGCACAGAGACACAGGCAGAGGGAGAAGCAGGCCCCATGCAGAGAGCCTGATGTAGGACTCGATCCCGGGTCTCCAGGATCAGGCCCTGGGCTGAAGGCGGAGCTAAACCACTGAGCCACCGGGGCTGCCCCTGTGTTTTATTTTTTTAAAAGTCTATCATATGAAAATAGGAAAACATCATGTTTTGTCAAGAAGCATCAGTTAAGCTGAGTGAAGTAAGTCAATCGGAGGACACAGTGTATGTTCTCCTTCATTTGGGGAATATAAATAAATAATAGTGAAAGGGAATATAAGGGAAGGGAGAAGAAATGTGTGGGAAATATCAGAAAGGGAGACAGAACATAAAGACTCCTAACTCTGGGAAACGAACTAGGGGTGGTGGAGGGGGAGGAGGGCGGGGGGTGGGGGTGAATGGGTGACGGGCACTGAGGGGGACACTTGACGGGATGAGCACTGGGTGTTATTCTGTATGTTGGTAAATTGAACACCAATAAAAAATTAATTTATTTTTTTAATTAATTTATTTAAAAAAAGAAGCATCAGTTAATATTTGTGATTAGCAGGGATGAAATTAATAATGGAATTAATTTTTCTCCCTGTCACACAATGAACTCTGCAGAGTGGAAATGTGCTACTTTAGGATCTGATTATCATTAAACTGCAGTTAAGCAACTGTGTGTTACAGTGCCAAAAAATCACAATGATAAGGCTGGCATTTCTGTCAATTTAGTAAGCTAAACAGTAATGAGATTTACCTTTCTTCACAGGATGGAAGGTCTTCTTGTCTGAGTTCATGGGAGGGCCTCCTGGGTCTCTGTTCTTGGTTTCTAACAGTAAGACTGCATGAAACAAGACATTTATGTATCAATTGAAATCATTATGTGTCAGGAAATATGTTAAAGGGAACTCCAGATTACCAAGAAATACCAAGTATTTCTCTCTTTTCTTGAAAAAAACTGGCCCTGATTTTCTTAAGAAAACCAAAAGTTGGGCATCTGCATGGCTCAGTCAGTTAAGCATCTGTCTTTGGCTCAGGTCAAGATCCCAGGGTCCTGGGATTGAGCCCCACATCAGGCTCCCTGCTCAGCAGGGAGTCTGCTTCTCCCTCTCTCTCTGCCCCTCATTCATGCTCCTGTACTCTTTCTCAAATAAATAAATAAAAAGTCTTAAACCCAAACCAAATGTATGATACCAAAGCATTAGCAAAATAATTATAATATTGTGGTCTACACTAATTGAGGGAGAGTTTACATTTAGAATAATACTTATTTTCATAAAAACATCTGTAAGAAAAATATAAAAAGGTCAGGGGTCAGGTTATCAGGAATGTTTGAGGTTTTCATTTCATTTCTACACCTTGAAAAAAAGTGTACATTCTCGTCAAAATGTATTTGTCTTTCCAGTCAAAATAGAGGTCTTAGATATTTCTAGGCACATATGCAAAAATGTTATGAGAAAACCGGGAAAGCATACAAAATTTATGCCTTTCAGGAGACTTTAAATTTCCTTATTTATTCCAAGTGATTCTGTTGTTATTGCAAATGCAGTTTTCATCTCATCTCTTAACTGGTTCCTGTTTGTACATATTAAGGCTACTACTTTTTTAATAGCTTTATTGAACCATCATTTACTTATTTATTTTCTTCTTAAAGATTTTATTTATTTGAGAGAGAAAGAGAGAGAGATGAGATGAGTGGGGGAGGGGCAGAGAGAGAGAGAAGAAGTGGAGTCCCCACTGAGTAGGGAGCCTGACACAGGGCTTGATCGCAGGACCCTGAGATCATGACCTGAGCTGAAGGCAGATGCTTAACCAAATGAGCCACCCCAGTGCCCCCAGAAAATCATTTATACATCAAGAAGTTACCTGTTTAAAATGTACAATCTAGTGGTTTGTAGCATAATCACAAGGTTGTACAACCATCACTATGACCTAACTTCAGAACATTTTCATCCCTCCAAAAGGAAGACCCACGGAGCAGCCCCTCCTCATTACCCCCTATATCCTGCGTCCTCCGGCCCCAGACACCTGCTGATCTACTTCCTGTCTCCACAGACGTGCCTCTTCTGAATGATACAGCACGTGGTCTTTGGTGGCTACCTTCTCTCACCTGGCAAATTGTTTTTAAGGTTCATTCATGTTGTAGTGGGTATCAGTACTTCATTCCTTTTTGCAGTTTAATAACATTCCACCGTTTGGATATGTGCCAATTTGTTATCCATCCACTGGTTGATGAACATTTAGGTTATCTGCACTTTTTTGCTATTATAAATAATTCCACTGTGCACGATCATGTACAGGTTTTTTCTGTGGATGTTTGTTTTATGTCTCTTGGGCAGACACTTAGGAATGGAAGTGCTTTCCTATGGTAACTCTGTTTTCAACATTTTGAGGAAGTCGCAAATTGTTTTCCAAAGCAGCTGTGCCATTTTACACTCCTACCAGCAATGCTGGAGAGACTATTTCTCCACCTCCTTGTCAACACTTCCTAGTATCTTTTTTATTCTTATTGACTCAGGGGGTATGAGGTGGTGGTACCTCATGATGGTTTTGACTTGCATTTTGCTAATGGCTAAGGAGATTATTTTTTCATGTATTATTACCTATTTGTAGGTCTTTTTTGGAGACATGTTCTACACTCTTGCCTACTTTTATCATCTTTTTATTTTCCAAATACGTTTTTCTTTTTTTTTAATTTTTTTTTCAAATATGTTTTTCTTAAAAAGAAAAGATTTATCTATTTATTTTAGAAAAGGAGACAGGGGCAGAGGGAGAGAGAGAGAGAATCTTAAGCAGAGTCCTCGCTGAGTGCAGAGCTCAATGCAGGGCTTGATCTCATGACCCATGAGATCCTGACTTGAGCCGAAATCAAGAGTTGAATGCTCAACTGACTGAACCCCTCTTTTGCCTACTTTTAAATTGGTTCATCCTTTTATTTTTGCATTGTGAGAGTTCTTTACATTCTGAAGGCTATTCTTTTTTACACTAATTCTGTATCTTTCTTCGTACTGAATTCTTTGGTGTTTGCTCTGGTTTAGCCACAATTCTCTGGGGATTTCCAGGTATACTCTCATATCTTCTGCAGATAGGGAGAGTCTTACTACTTCTCCTCTGATTCTTAGGCCACAGGTTGTTTCTTCTTGTCCACACGCATCAACTGATGCCTGATAAGATACAATGTTAAAGAGAAGGGGAGAGCATAGACATCCTTGCTTTGTTCTTGCTTTTAGTTCCCCATTAATTTCAAAATGGATTTTTATTATTGGTTGAGTTTGCTTTATCTGACTATTGCTACTGCTCTTTTCTATTCCTTTTATTATATCTTTCCTTTGCACTCTTTCCACCATTTTATAAGAGTAATTCAGCCTATTTTTAGCACATTTGCTTTATGGATTTTCGGTAATTGTGTGTGTGTGTGTGTGTGTGTGTGTGTGTGCGCAGCTCTGTTTTTCGTTAATGTGGTCATTAGAAATGCAGGAACTCTTCTGACTTGTTGCTTTCATGATGCCAGTTTCAGTAAATAATGGTTTCTTAAAACAAAAACAAACAAGAGACATCTGGGTGGTGTTCGTGCTGCAGGAGCATTAATACTGCTTAACTTCTTAGACTTCTTTTGTAAGCAGAAAACATTAGTACACAATGGGTATGAAAAATCAAAGAGAAAAATAAAGGATGAATTTGACACAAGATTTCTAAGAGAACTGGAAGTTACATTGTGAATTAAATAATACAACCTTTATTTAGCTTTGACATTTTTTCCATGTCTCATTATTTAAAGGAGGAATATTTCTTAATGAGTTCTTAAAAAAAGTGAAAAATATATTTTGTGTCGTTTTCAACCTGATTTGTTATTGTTACAGTAGAAGAAAACTCCTAGAAGCTAAAATAGCTGTTCACCATGTTTAAGAGCTATTCAGTAAAAGAAGTCCCATGGCTAGATATATTTTAGTAAATTTTTAAAAATATTTATCTTTTATTTATTTATTCATGAGCAACACACAGAGAGCAGCAGAGACACAGGCAGAGGGAGAAGCAGGCTCCATGCAGTGAGCGCGATGTGGGACTCAATCCCAGGACCATGGGATCATGACTGAGCCAAAGGCAGATGCTCAACCACTGAGCCACCCAAGTGCCCCTGTTTTAGTAAATTTTTGACTTATAAAGAGGAAAAAATTCTTCAATCTTCTAACAAGGAAAAAAAAGTTTATTTTTAAGAAATCAAGTATCTGCATGACTTCTTTGATAAAATGAAATGCCAGAAGGCCATGAAGCAGAATTTTGAGAAAGATAATACAAGGGCTTAGAAAACGTACTTCCTTTTAATTTTCTTAAAAAATGACTCTACTAGGGGGGCACCTGGGTGGCTCAGTTGGTTAAGCATCTGACTTTGGCTTGGGTCATAATCTTGGGGGTCCTGGGATCGAGCCTAGCGTGGGGCTCCAAGTCAGGCTCCCTGCTTGGTGGAGGATCTGCTTTTCCCTCTCTCTGCCTCTTCCCCTGACTCCTGCTGTTTTTCTTCTCTCTCTCTCAAGTAAATAAATAAAATCTTAAAAAAAAAAACCCACTCTAGTAGGTATTATCAACATGGAAAAATCTCAAAAGCTGTATGCTTTTGAGTGGAGAGGGAAAGGGGAGAGATATAATCCCAAGCAGACTCCATGCTGAGCACGGAGCTTGAGGTGGGGTTGATCCCACGACCCTGAGATGTGACCTGAGCCAAAATCAAGAGTCAGATGCTTAACTGACTGAGCTCTTCAGGCACCCCACAACATATATTCTTTTTTCCTCCAGCACATGTATTTAAATGCTGTATGGTACTGCATTGTGTAACCACACTGCAATATATTTATCCATTCTCCTGTTCTTGCACATTAGAGACATTTTCAATTTTTCTCAATCAGATTAATGCTTCAGTGAATCCTCTCATACATATCTCCTTTTGCTTGTGTGCAAGAGGTTTTTTTAAGGTAGAGTATTATATTTAGGTGGTGTATATTTAACTCTCATGTATCTGATCCTTGTTTATAGGAGCACAAGTAGATTCTTTTCTGTTTCATTTCCTTTGCTTATTTTTCTTTTGGTTATTATTTTCTTATTCATCTCCTGAAGTTCTTTCTTTGTGTGTTCTAGGTTTATATTCTTTATTTGCTAATGTCTTGTAATCATCTTCTCTCAGTATGTTCTATGTGTTCATTTTACTTCCGATTTTTTGCTAAACCCATATTAAAAATAGTTTTATTCAGATAAAAATCACACACCGTAAACTCACAATTTAAATGGTACAAGTCAATAGTTTTAGTATACTCATAAAATTGTGCAACCATCACCACAATTTTAGAACATTTTATCACTGCAAAATGAAACTGTACACATCAGCACCAACTCCCATTCCCCCAGGCCGAGGCGACTATCAACTTTTTGTCTCTGTGAATTTATTCCAGATGTTTTGCATTAATGGAATCATAGGGTATGTGGTCTTCTGTGTCTGGCTTCTTTTACTTAGCATGATCTTTTCAAGGTTCATCCATGTTTTAGCAGTTTCAAGACTTCACTCCTTTTATGGTCAAATCATATTCCACTGTATGGATACACCACATTTTGTTTATCCATTCATCAGTTGATGGACCTTTGGGTTGCTTCCACTTTTTGGCTAGTGACTGCTATACATATTCATGTACAAGTCTTTGTATAGAGTATGTTTCTTTTTCTCTTGTTAGACACATTTTTATATTTTAATATAGTCCTATTTGTGAATCTTTTTAAAAAGTAATTCTTCCCAATGCCAAAATCAGAAATATATTATCCTGTATTTGTTCTTGGCTACTCACATTTAGGCCTTTAAACCATCTGGAATTGATCTTCATTTTGGGTGGGGTGGGGTGTAGGGGTTTAGGGAGAGACTGGGTTTTGTATGTGCTGCAATATAGGAATAGAAGTATTTTTTGGATTTGGATACCAGGTAGGGTGACCCACTTCCCGAGTTTGCCTGGGACTCATGGGTTCTCAGATAGTGCTAAAACAAAGACAGTCCTGGGCAAGTGGAATGAGCTAGTCACCCTAACTCCAAGTATCTTGGCATTCATAGAATAGTTCATTCTCTCTTGTTAAAACCACTTTTGTCATATGTTGATAGTTTTCTATGTTTCTGTTATTTTCCATCGATGTGGAAAGTCTCTGTTATACTTGTGGCTATTCAAGAATGCCATTAATTTGGAAAGAAAATGTAATTTTTTCCTAAATCAGAAATTATTTGATTTGTCTATCACTACCATGATATTGTTTACAACTTTAGATTTACACTTATTAGCACAAATTAAGTATGTTTTATAGCTATATTTGATCCATTCCATTCTGTGTCCATGATTGTTACTTGTTTCCCATGACTACCCTGTGGGTTCACTTGTTCTTCCTGAAGTACATTCTCTCTTAGTGCTTTTAAGGGAAGGTCTGAAGACAGCTTTCTTGGTCTTTGTATGTCTGAAAATGTCTTGTCTTAACCCACACTCTTGAATTTGAGTTTGACTAAGTTTTCCATTATTTTTCTCCAGTTCTTTGATGACATTGCTCTATTGTGTTCTTTTAATTGAAGTATAATTAATATACAGTGTTATATTAGTGTCAGGTGTACGCACACAGTATGTGCTGCAGGAGTGTTGGCTATGATGAGGATGGCTAAACATAGTTTTATAATTTATTCACCATAGTGGGTGCCAGTGGAAGGTGTCTGCTCTGGTAGCAGCATGCCACCACCGGCTATGCTCACACCATCAGTCCCAGACACTGTTGAGGTCACAGCCTCCTGCGTCCCTTTAAGGCAGTAGAGAAGGGAGGGGGTAAACAGGAGTTTCACCCACACCTGAATATCTCTGCATCTCTCTCACACAACCATCTCTCTCTCACTATCTCACTGAAACTGATTAGCAGAGTGAAAGACTCTGCTAGAGTGAAATCCCTTCACCATTGGTGGGTCTCCCCACTGTGTTGGGTGGGTCCTGGACCCCACATGTGCAGGGTATGCCAACTTGTGCCTCTCTTCCAGTTTTCTGTTGAATTTTTCAGATTCCTACTCGGGGCTGAAGCCCTGCCTTGAGTCAGACCGCTTGGCTCCTGCCAGTCCCATATCCCCCATATTCCTGCTTGTGTCTGGGATTTTGTACTGAACAGGCCAAACACCCACCATCATCATCCCATCAGTCCTTGGTGTATTGTATTGCTGAGTCCCATCCATCAGATAGGAACTTCTTGGAAATTAACACTAGCTCAAATCAAGCAAGAGACCAAGTTTTCCTGGACATTTAATTTCAGTCTGCACCTGTTTCACCCCAATTACAACAGTCCTGTCACTGTTCTTTTTTTTTTTTTTAAGATTTTATTTATTTATTCATGACATGGAGAGAGAGAGAGAGAGAGAGAGAGAGAGAGAGAGAGAGAGGCAGAGACACAGGCAGAGGGAGAAGCAGGCTCATGCAGGGAGCCTGACATGGGACTTGATCCTGGGTCTTCAGGATCAGGCCCTGGGCTGAAGGCGGCGCTAAACCGCTGAGCCACCCAGGCTGCCCCTGTCACTGTTCTTGAGAGCTGCACTATCACCTGGTCTTCTCTACTGGAGAGTGATCTTGGTCCAACTTGTGGCCAAGCCTACATAAATATAGAATAATTTTTAAAAACCCTTCTCTAAGATTTTATTTTTGAGAGAGAGAGGGAGAGAGAGAGAAAGAGAACATGCATGTGCAGGGGTGGGGGCAGAGGGAGAAGCAGACTCCCGGCTGAGGCCCTGTGGTACTCGATCCCAGGACCCTGAGATCATGACCTGACCCAAAGGTGGACACTTAATTGACTGAGCCACCCAGGTGCCCAATATCCAATAATGTAATTGCCTAAAGTTAGGCACACATTTGGTGGGCACTAAGCACTTTTCATAGCCAAGATTTCAGAAATGCCACCTAACATTCCTATGATTTTTAGGTGTAAACTATACACATTTCTCCAGACCTTGACAGTCAAGGATATTTTCCAAACTGTGTATCTCTCTTATGAAGCAAAGATTGTGTATCTTCCTGTACCAGTAAGTTAGCCTATATTTTTATATTCTTCTCTCTGTTAAGCATATATTTTGCCATTTTTCTTTATTAAAACATGAAATTAATAAAAGAAAAACAGAAGATAAAATCCAGGCTCCTCTACCTCACCTTAACTTTTAAGAGCCACCTTAAATCCTAACTCCTTTACAAAACCTTTGTTACCAAGTAGACTGCCTTGAGTTCACTCCTTTCTAACACCTAGTTGTCATTTCTGCCCAAATATTAACATTTGATCAGCAATGGCCTTAGACTCTCCTTTAGCTGTTTAACACACCACCCTGATTTCAGGGATTTGAATAGAAGTCCCCTGAGAGCTAGAATACAGAGCCTCTTTGTGAGTGTGTGTGTGTGTGTGTGTGTGTGTGTGTGTGTGTGTTGTTGCTGTTCTTCACAGGTCCCAAATCAGTGTGCCAGGCATATAGTAGTTGTTCAAAAGATACATATGGGGGAGCCTGGGTGGCACAGTCGGTTAAGTGTCTGACTCATGGTTTCAGCTCAGGTCATGATCTCAGGCCAGGTCGTTGAGTTGGAGCCCACATTGGACTCCATGCTCAGCGGGGTCTGCTTGAGATTCTCTCCCTCCACCTTTGCCCTCCCACCCATGCTCTCTACCTCAAATAAATATTAAAAAATAAAATAAAATTAGAGAATTAATCCTAAGCTGGCCCTCCCCAGGGGGGCCAATTCCCATACAGAAGCGCACGGGAGAAGCCCCGAACTTACCAGGAACAGCTGCAGCAGCAGCACCAGCAGAAGCAGCAGGCGTTGGCCCCGCGCTCCCCTGCTCCGGGCTGGCCTGGCGTGGAGCCGGCGGTCTCCTGGGCTGCAGGCATCTGCCGTTTCCGCATCTCTGGCCGCTCAGATCCCATGGGCTGCAACAGTGCAAGCGAAAGGGGGGCCAGTTACCACCACACAAGGTAGGAGAGTCTGCTGTCTGGATCGCTGCGAAAACGCAAGGCGCCTCTCTCCAGGCCATTTCTGCGAATTCTGGCAACATTTGGCGCTCAGAGTCCATTAATGTAGCCAACATTTCGCGTCTGGCATCTGCCAAGCACTGTGAATAGAATGACGGCGTGTCCCTGCCCTAGGGCGCTTCAAGATCAGGAGAGGAATCAGACACTGCCATCACCTACTGAGGACATCTGGTGACGAGGAGCGCATTTCTCAGCCCTGGGTTCCCGCTGGGTGGAGCTGCCAGGGAGCAGCGGCAGGTGGCAGCTGAGTTAGGGATGCCCCCAAGGCCGGAGCATCGGAGGAAGCCAGGCCGAGAAGGCAAGTGCACTAACAAGGCGGTAAGAGGAAATGTCCTAAGAGGAAGAATGGAACTCCTGGGGGGCAGCCAGGTTCTGAGACCCCACTGACAGGTTCAAGTCTTTTTTAATATTTAATTTATTTATTCATGAGAGACACAGAGAGCGAGGCAGAGACACAGGCAGAGGGAGAAGCAGGCTCCCTGTGGGGAACTCAATGCAGGGATCGATCCCAGGACCCTGGGATCACAACCTGAGCCAAAGGCAGCAGCTCAACCCAGTTGCCCCTGGTAGGTTCAAGTCTTAACTTGCTCTGAAACCTTGAAGATGTTTCCCCACTCTGTATGTGGACCTGAAGTTAGGTCCTGTGGCTCAGTTACTCCCAGGAAGCAAGGAAGGGCTGTGAACTGTGGCCTGCTCTGATCTGCCCTGCCATCTGCAGGGACAGTCACCCTCGCCTACCTCAGTGGAGAGCAAGTCATTGCAAACAAGGTCTCTGTCCATCAACCTCCTCTTTTTCTGAAGACCACAGAATGGCTGAAGCAGCACAAGAAGGAGGAATCATCCAGTGCACTTTTACGCTTGATACTATTATTCAATTGCTGGTGAAGTAAAAGCAAAAATACCAAAGCTACATTAAAGAACCTTAAATAGGACTTTGGGATTAAATTCTGGATGTGGTATTCCATTCCAACACTAGGTTTCTCTCTCCCAACTATTACTGATTCTTAGGTTCTATTGGACTTTAATTACTAGAGTTTTAGTATGGGTTTTTATATTGGGTAGGTAAAATTCTCTTCACAAATTAAAAAATTGTTTTTGGCTGTTTGTGTCTGTTTTGTTTTGTTTTGTTTTCATCTAGTTGAATTTTGGAATCAGCTTTTCAAGGTCCAGAAATTCCATGTTGGGATTTTGAGTAGGACTACATTGAATTTATAGATGTATTTATGAGAAATGACATCTGTTTTAGTACCTGCCAAATCAGGATGACTCCTCTGGAGTAGCCCTTTTATTTAATTATGCAGGATGTATTCCAGGACTGCAAGAGAGACGCGGCCAAGCATTCACTGTGCTTTCCCACAACGGGAACAACACTCAGAACTCCTGTCCAGTGTCCAGCCCAAGCAGTCCAGGATGCTGGCACTGGGGTGGCTCACTTGTCCAAAGGGTGGAGACAGAGACTTTTGTTCAACTCACAGCCATGTTTTATGGCACCACTGGGAGACAAGACCCTTTTAATGCCCCGGAGGTAGAAACCTGGGCTTCTTCCTAGGCATCTGTGGCCTTGCAGTAGAGATGCAGACTAAGGATTGTTTCACTTCATTCAGGACACTGAGGGGCAAGGGCAAGCGGGCACAATCTCCAAACAAAGATGGCTGGAGCAGGAGATGCCTCCAGGTGATTGTTATGTCCTAAGAGATACTGATGCAACTTGCCTCATTAAAAAGAAAAATCCCAATAGCTTCTCAGAAGAAGGAAGGATTGTGACGTGGGAATGTCAATGAGTTTCAAGGGACTACTTTTCTAACATCTTTGCAACACTGGGTCTTCCCAATCAGTACGTGGAATATATGTTCATTCAGAGCCTCCCCTGTGTATTTGAAAGGCTTTACTCAAACACGTCTTGCATATTTTTGATAGGTTTATTTCTGAGTATTTTATAGGTCTTTTTTTTGCTGCTTTTGTAAATACTTCTCTGCTTCAAGTTTCTAAATAGTTATTTTGGTGTATAGGGAGGCTACTATATCTGGCCTCCCTGCTGAATTCTCTTATTAATTCTAGTAGTCTTTCTACTGATCCTCTTGGGTTTTCTAGGTGGATGATCATACTGTCTATAAATAGTCACACTTGTTGGTTTACCTTCTGTACCTTTCCAAGTACAGTATCTTTCCTCTCCATGGTCTTATTTCATTGGCCAGGAAGTTCTGTAAATATTGAAAAGTAGGGATCCCTGGGTGGCGCAGCGGTTTGGCGCCTGCCTTTGGCCCAGGGCGCGATCCTGGAGATCAGGATCGAATCCCACATCGGGCTCCCAGTGCATGGAGCCTGCTTCTCCCTCTGCCTATGTCTCTGTGCCTCTCTCTCTCTCTGTGACTATCATAAATAAATAAAAAAAAAAGTTAAAAAAAATATTGAAAAGTAGTAGTACTTTTTGGTACCTTGGGCTTCTTCATGACTTTATGAGAAGACTCATAGCACTTTGCCCATATGTGTGATGTGTGCTGAAGGTTTCTGGGAGAAGGTAATTTTATGGAGTTAATCACATTTTCTTCTATTGTTTACATAGTACAAAACAAGTTGTGCCCGTTATTTATTTTATTTATTTATTTATTTAATTTATTTTACAGAGAGATGGAGAGTGTGAGTAGGGGAGGGGCAGAGGGAGAGGGAGAGTGAATCTCAAGCACTCAGCATGGAATCTGATACCAGACTCAATCCCAGGACCATGAGATCATGATCTGAGCTGAAACCAAGAGTCAGCTGCCCAACTGACTGAGCCACCCAGGCCTCCCACCCCTGCTTATTAGTTAACTTATTTTATTTGCTTGTACATACCTCATTCTTTGTAAACCCGAGGAAGACTTAATGGTTTAGTGAGCAAACTCTGAGAGAACATCACACAGTTGTTCATGACTAAATATATTCTCCGAAATCAAAGACAAATGTCATCAAAGTCTGTTCTTACACATTTTTGAGAACAGCTTTATTGAGGTGTAACTAGCATAGAGTCTGCAAATGCTATTTAAAGGGTATAATTTGATAAGTTTTGGCATGTTAATATACCTGTGAGACTACCACCACAACAATCACGACCACATCATCCACTGCAAGTTTCCTCACACCCCTTGGGAATCCCTCTTGCCCTTCTCTCCTGCTCCTGCCTGCTCTAGCAATCACCGATCTGCTTTTTCCCACCATATGTTAATTTGAATTTTTAAAGAATTTTATACAAATGGAATCTTTTTTGTCTGGCTTCCTTTACCCAACATGATTATTTTATGATGGTTATGTATATCAAACATTCATTCCTTTTTAAAAATTTCTGACTCTCTCTCTCTCTGTGTGTGTGTGACTATCATAAATAAATAAAAAAATTTTTAAAAAATTTTAAAAAGGGATCCCTGGGTGGCGCAGCGGTTTGGCGCCTGCCTTTGGCCCAGGGTGCGATCCTGGAGACCGGGGATCGAATCCCACATCGGGCTCCCGGTGCATGGAGCCTGCTTCTCCCTCTGCCTATGTCTCTGCCTCTCTCTCTCTCTCTCTATCATAAATAAATTTAAAAAATTAAAAAAATTTAAAAAATTTCTGAGCAGTAGTTCATTGTCTAGATATACACAATTTGCTTATACATACACCTATTGCTGGACTTACACCTTATTGATGGTTCCTGAAAGGATTATATATATAAAAGATATTGTCTTCTTTTGAACACAGCAGTCTTTTATCAATCAATAGGAGAGGTGCATGTTGCTGAGATTGCATTAAAGTTTACAGTACTGTATACAGTTGTAATGTTTCTAGTTTGTTCTTCCACATTGAATAATGATTGATGATTATGGTCTTTTGGTATTTCTTGGACAAATCATGGTTGTTAACCACTTTCCTCACTTATAATTCCTTTCTTTTCTCAGTGTTCCATGTTTAGTTTATCTTTATAGAGTTTCAACTTGGCCTCATAACATAATCCATTTAATTTTTCTTCTGTTTAATATTAGAATTTCTTGTATGATTTCTTGAAAATCTTACACTCAGTTCAGTAATTCTGACATTCTGAATCATTTAAAACTTCAGATAAACAAAAAAATATATGCTATTCCTATAAAATCTACGAGCAACCTATATCCCCCTCTCAATTCCAAAATTTCTAAATGGATAGATGTTTTTCACTCAATTATGAGGTGCTGGAGTGTTCAGTGGAGGCAGTAGTTAGTCTTGAGGATTTATGCCCTGCTGAGCCATGGTGGAATAGGAGAGTGTGAGAAAAGGCAAAATGTGTTAATAAAAATCTGAATATTAAATATTAACAAAATGTTGATAATTGTGTCATTAACACAGGGACTTTGTTATACCTTCCTCTCTATACTTTTTAAGATAGTAAGCTCATAAACTGAGGGGAGGGGAGAAGGAGAGGGAGAAAGAATCTTAAGCAGGGTCCAGGCCCAGCATGAGCCTGACATGGGGCTCCATCTTACGACCCTCAGATCATGACCTGAGCTGAAATCAAGAATTGGACGTTTAACCAACTGAGCCACCCAGACACCACCTTCCTCTCTACGTTTAAGTATACTTGTTTGAAATTTTTCTTTAAAACATTTATATACAATGGAATATTACTCAGCCACCAGAAAGGATGAATACCCACCATTTGCTTCAAGGTGGCTGGAACTGGAGGGTATTCTGTTGAGTGAAGTAAGTCAACCAGAGAAGGAAAATCATACTATGTTTTCACTCATATGGGGAATATAAGAAATGGTGAAAGGGATTATAAGGGAAAGGAGGGGAACTGAATGGTAAAAATTAGAGAGGAAGACAAACCATGAGAGACTCCTAACTCTGGGAAATGAATAAAGGATTGCAGAACGGGAGGTGGGTGGGGGGATGGGGTGACTGGGTGACGGGCA